CCCCCCGGCAACCCCTCACCATGGGTATTGTTACCGACCGCCTCCGTGGTCGCAAGACCAACCATGTCGTTGAGGACTTGGGTCCGGTCGATGATCATGCTTCCCAGGATACTCCCTCCGAGGAACTGGCGCGTGCCGAGAAGGAGGCTCAAGAACACCCCGAGGAGGTCACTCGAGATGCCCCTATCGGTGTGAAGAAGGCCGAGGCTGCCGCTCTGGTTTGGACTAAGAAGGCTATCATTATCACTTACGCCTGGTAGGCCTTTTCTCAACTGATGGGGACTATTCTTTCCGTTGCTAACCGTATCGCCTGTCAGGATCTGGGTGTGTTATTTCATGTTGGCTTTGCACGAGTACATTGGTAGCAATGTCCTCTACTACGCCTACTCCAACTTCCAGAGCGCATCTCAGGTTACCACTGCCTATATCCTGGCAACCATCATCGGCGGTGTCTTGAAATTGCCGATCGGAAAACTGCTCGGACTGTGGGGACGTGCGGAGGGCCTCATGGTGTTTCTGGCCGTCTACATCGTGGGCATGATCATTCTCGCTGCGTGTAATGGCCCCAACAGCTTTGCGGCCGGCTATGTGTTCTACTGGATCGGGTATGATGCCATCTACCTGATTCTTGAGATCTACATCGCCGATACCTCGGGGCTCCGCAACCGAGCTTTCGCCTTCGCCTTCTCGACCACCCCGTTCATCTGCTGCGCCTTCACCGGTTCCTTGGCGGCCAACTCGTTCGTCAAGACCTCCGGTTGGCGGTGGGCGTACGGCGCCTTCGCCATCGTGCAGCCCTTTGTCTTCGCCCCGTTGATCTACATCTTCAAGTACTATGAGAGCAAGGCGTACAAGCAGGGACTGTTGACCCGCGAGTCCAGCGGTCGCACCACTCTGCAGACGATTGTCCACTACATGCATGAGTTCGATGGTGAGTTCTCTGCCGTGTGCTACATCAACCCAATCCATATTCCGCGTCTTCATCATGACTAACAGGATGCATCAGTGATCGGCGCGTTCATCCTGATGGCGGCCTTCGTCCTCTTTCTGCTGCCGTTCAGCCTGGCTAGCTACGGGCGAACTGAGTACCACAACGCTGCCTTCATTGCCGAAGTAGTGGTCGGATTCTGCTTGTTCTTCGTTTTTGCGGCGTGGGAGAAATGGGGTGCGCGAGTGCACTTCATTCCCTACGAGCACTTGCGCGATCGCACCGTGATCGGGGCGTGCATGCTGGCCGCGGTCCTCTACTTCAGCTTCTACTTGTGGGACAGCTACTTCTATTACTTCCTCATGGTGGTGTACGACCTCAGCATTACGCACACGGGCTACATGACCTCGATCTACACCGTGGGCTCCTGCCTCTGGTCGCCCGTGTTCGGGCTGTGGATCCGCACCACCAAGGAATTCAAGTACTCGACTCTGTTCTTTGCCGTGCCGCTGATGATGCTGGGCGCGGGCCTGATGATCCACTTCCGCGGCCAGGACGCCGACATCGGCTATATCATCATGTGCCAAATCTTTATCGCCTTTTCCGGCGGAATGATGGTCATCAGCTTCCAGATGGCGGTGATGTGCGCCTCCTCCCGCGACAATATCCCCATCATGCTGTCGATCGTGAGTTTGTTCACCAGCATCGGCGGCGCCATCGGTGCGGCCGTCTCCGCTTCGATCTACAGCAACACCTTCCGGGACGGACTGAAGAGTGCCCTTCCTGCCAGTGCCCAGGCCGATCTGGAGACGCTGATTGCCGGCGGATACTTGACGCAGATGAAGTATGCCCCTGGCACGGAGGTACGCGATGCCATCAACTACGCCTGGGGTTACATGGAGAAGTACCAGGCGATTGCGGCCACGGCGATCTTGGTGCTGGCCTTCCCGTCTGTCATCATGTGGAGGCACTACAATGTCGACAAGAAGCAGAACAAGGGAACGATGCTGTGAGCGGTTGTCTTTGCTGCTACGTTGAGGGAGCAAGGAGGGGGAGCTTGATCGATGCTTACGATAATGTCTACTAATACCCTAATTGTTGTTCGAAAAGGTTCCTTTCTGTGGCATTTCCACACATTTTCACGACTTTATCTTATAATAAACATCTTGCGCTGGTTTCTACCTCATGCATCGACCTGTCCTGAACCGAATTAGACCAGAAGATATTTTGAGGGCATTCGATTGCGATTCTAGTAACGACCCACCCCCGGAATCTGACGTGCGGGTTCGGAGTAAACTATCCACCACATGGACCTACAACCTTCATAAATTGGAAGTAGTTGTGTCGGGCGCTTACTGGATCTATCTCTGCTGCCCCTGATTTCCAGTCAAAGACGCGAGCTGAAAAATATAAACAAGAACTCGACGCCAGCATTCCAATCTATAGCCATGGCAACGGTACAGTGGGAGTGCATATCTTCTCTAAAGGTACCTGAGCACGCATTCTTCGGATTCTACAACCGAGAACAAGCAGTAATTTTCCTGCTTCGAAGAATGCAAGCTAGCTGCTATCGATGGCAAGCCCCTGGACGATCGTGTGAATGTCTCACTCGATATCTGGCCGTAAATCAACATCAAGAAACAGCCCTGGGTCCAGTGCTGCCTGGTAGATGTCATCGGTTCCTTTCTTCCCTGCATTAACCCTCACTCCCCTTCCTAATCTATACTCCCCCAGCTTGTTCCTCTCAGCATCCGTAATGAGACACTACTTTATCCTCGGCCTCCTAGCCCTAGCAACAGCGAGTCAACCGCCCCGGCCCGGCCCAACCGTCGACTCCAACCTATACAGCGGCGACTGCACGCGCGAGCGGCTCCAAACCCGCAAGGAATGGCGCAACCTCGACCGCTCGCAGCAGGAAGCCTACCTGGACGCGGTGCAATGCCTGATCGATCTCCCCGCGGAGACAGGGATGGCGTACACAACAAGCCGGTGGAGCGATCTGCAGGCCCTGCATCGGTATTACACCAACACCGAGTACGGCGATGTCATCCATAACGTGGTGCGTACTTGTCGGACCTGGACTTGCGTCGAGTTCTAGGTCGTTAAATTCCCGATGGCTAGGGCCAATTCCTCCCTTGGCATAGGTACCTGCTACACATCCACGAGACGCTTCTCCGGGAGCAGTGCGGGTATACCGGTCCGATGGTGTACGCTCCCCCTTTCCCCTATGTCTAAACCCCCACACCCACACTAAACGAACGAGGGATAGATGGTGGAACGAACAAGCCGATGCAGACACAGGGGACCTCTTCCGCTCGCCCATGTGGAACGACGATTCCTTCGGGGGCGACGGCACCGAACCCGCCAACTGTATGGCGGACGGGCGCTTCGCCGATTTGACGCAGTACATCGGGCCGTTGGACAACAACACGGAACGCTGTCTGGAGCGGGAGTGGGATAGCCCCCTGGGGGTCAGGAATGTCAACAGCACGATGGTGGGCCAGTGCTTCGATCTGACCAGCTACACGCCCTTCTGGCAGTGCGTGGCCTCGTATCCGCACAAGGGGGTGCATCAGGCCGTTGGGGGGCTGGTACGTCTCGATCTTCGTATGGTAGTAGGGTTGAGGCTGAGCAAAGTGATGGATGATGATACTGACACAAATGTGTACTGTAGATGGCAGACGTCAAGGCCTCCCCCGGCGACCCGATGTTCTACATCCACCACGCCTTCATCGACCGGCTGTGGTATACCTGGCAGATGGTTGACCCGGATACCCGACTATTCGCGATGGGTGGGACCTCGGTCAATTACACGGATCTGCCGACTCCTCCGGGGGGTTGGCCGGAGACGACGCTGGAGTATGAGCTGGAGTCATATGAGATCTTGCCGGGGGTCACGGTGGAGGATGTGATGAATCCGGTGGGCGGGTATTTGTGTTATGAGTATGATTGATGCGTTGCTTTAGATGTTGTTCTATTGTTCCGGGTCATCAGCCGGGATTAAGAACTGATCCCGGTAGCGGGCCGGTACAGGCGACATGCAGACTATCAGACCCGGTGCCGGGAGACGGTACTTGTACGCAGCCTCCAGTACACTCAATCTATATAACATCATGGAAGGTCTCATCCCCTCATAATCAACATCAGACTATAAGCATATCAGCATATCAGCATGGCTACCTCCGACTCCGCCCTCGAAGAGCAACCGGTCACCGCAGACCTTTGTAACTGGGTCACTGCACTACAAGCCTCCGATATTCCCACCGGTGTGCTCCAACGTACCAAGCACCTCATCCTCGACGGCATAGCCTGCGGTCTGGTAGGGGCGCACGTCCCTTGGTCTGAGAAGTGTCTCGATGCCATTGACGACTATGAGCCGGCCGGCTACTGCAGTGTCTTGGACTCCAACAAGGTCTGACCCCCGTCCCCCGTTTCCACGGAGCATCAAACGCTCATGCACCACCAGAGATACGGACCCCTCGCCGCCGCCATCCTCAACGGAGCATTCATCCAAGCAGTCGAACTAGACGACTACCACAGCGCCGCCCCGCTGCACTCCGCCAGCGTCATCCTGCCGGCCCTCTTCGCCGCAGCCGAGGTCCAAACACACGGAAGCCAAAAGCAACCCCGACGAATCGTCTCCGGCCCCGAGTTCCTCATCGCAGCAGTGGTGGGCTTCGAAACCGGGCCCCGCGCCGGTGCCGCCATGTACGGGGCCGACCTACTCTCGCGCGGCTGGCACTCGGGCCCGATCTTCGGCTGCCCCGCCGCGGCTGCCGCGGCCTCCAAACTCCTGAATCTCGATAGCGCAGCCACCGAGTCGGCTATCGGCATCGCATGTACGCAGGCCGGCGGGCTGATGGCCGCCCAGTACGAAGGGATGATCAAGCGAGTGCAGCATGCGTTCGCGGCGCGCAACGGGCTGTTCGGGGCGCTGCTGGCTCGGAACGACTACCTGGGCATTCGGAAGGTGTTTGAACGACCCTATGGCGGGTTTCTGGCCATGTTCAGCCAGGGCAACGGCCGCGAGCCGCCTTACCGGGTTGAAGGGGTGACTGCGGGGTTGGGGCAGGTCTGGCAAACGACCAACATTCGGGTCAAGTTGCATGCCTGTGTCGGAGGGTGTCACGGGCAGGTCGAGGCGTTGGAGCGACTGCAGGAGACGTACCCGGAACGGTTCACCCCGGAGACTTTGCAGCATATCCAGAGTATCCGCGTGGCGCTTTCTGAGCCGGTCTTTGCGCACGACGGCTGGGTGCCCTCTGAGCGGCCGCTCACGGCCACAGGGGCCCAGATGAACGCGGCGTACATCGGGGCGGCACAGCTAGTGTACGGACAGGTGCTGCTGGAGCAGTTCGACACGGCCGCGTTGGACGACGATCGCGTTTGGGCGTTGATTCGCAAGACGACGTGTGTTCATAGTGAGGAGTTGGATCGACCGGACCATCTCTGCGGAGCACAGGTGGTTGTGAAATTCACGGACGGGGTGACGGTGGAGGAGACGGTGGCTATGCCCCGTGGGTTCGATCCGCCGATCACTGACGAGGAGATCCGCGACAAATGGCGCAGGCTGGTGCGGACGGTGGGCGATGCTGCGCGTATGCAACGCCTGGAGGAGGCTGTACTCTCGTTGGAGGATTTGGAGGATGTTTCCGAGCTGTTAGCCCTGATTCGTGGATAGGAGCAGTATAGTCGCCACCCGGATTTGGTCTATAGAATCGGACGTATTGAGGCTCGCCATCTGCTCGCGGGTCAATAAGTACCCTTGTACTTCACTGCCTTGGAGAACTCACTCATTCTATTGTGACTATCATCTGCTGTCGTATACGACGCAAACTTGGGTGAAGTACTCACTGTCAGCTTATCCGCTCGTCTTCCATACATTACATGCCCTAGTATTCCCACATGCCCCCCCTGGCGTATGTACCATTTTCTATCTTGTGTTTTCTTTTTCTTCTCTGGAAAAGCTCATCCTCTTCAAGAGACATACGTATAGCGTACATCAGATCTATAACTCTAGAATCCCAAATGATATTTCGCTTTCTCGGTTATTTATGATTTCAACTTAACATCCAGTATTAAGGGAACGTGGCAAGTTTCTGAAAAGTGGGTGCGCCAATCCTGTCTGCTTTTAGAAATTACTATATACTACAACGACCCCAGACTGGCCTTTCTTGCGCATATCTAGTTCTATGCCCGTGGACGAGACTGACTCGATCGCGCCACAGCATGTCGTACATGAACTAACCATGCGGGCAACTGTGCTGCAGTAAAGTAAGCAGACACAAGACAATTCAATCATTCTCAGCTCCCAGTCTTTCCCCCCGTCTCCACCTCCACCACAATCGTCTCCCGATCTTCTGTCGAGCTCTCCTCCGACTCAGCGTACCTCGACTTGCGCTTTTGCTCCCTGCCATCACGTCAGTAACACTCACACTACCGTAATGTGCTGCGTCTCTTACCATCTATGTATCAGAATAACCGAGATAAAAGCGGCCCAGAGCAGAAAGAAGAATGCAAACGAGGCCGGCCACCCCTTGCGCCAACGCGGGGCGCCGTTGGGACCTGCAGTCGGAAAGAGCAGCAACGGAACCCAGATCTGGAACGAGTAGCCGAAGGTCATCATTGAGCCCTGGATTTGAGTTAGTCACTGAGACGATCGAAGGCGGAGGGCAGGGGAGCTCACCATGATGAGGGCGCGCTCCTCCGAGTCATCTTTTACGATGGTGTTGACGGTCGAATAGAGGATGGGGCTCAGGCATCCGGATGTACCGAAGAGGTACCATGCGACGAATCTGAGGGAAGTCAGGTTAGAGGTTCCATGGAAGAAATGTAGCGAGAAGGACGGGGGACGGGGTTAGGGTTGCCTACTTTAGCCCGCGCGGGATGTCCCAGATGATCATGCACAGCGAGGAGAACAGGCAACACGCCGAGGAGAAGGTGTAAAGCGCCCAGCTGGGATAGATTGCGGCGAGGGTCGTTCCCAGCCACGAGGCGACGATGTTGATGGCGTAGGTTACGGTCGGGAGCTTGTTCACCTGCGGCACCGAGTAGCCCTCGGCCTGCAGCCAGAGATTCATGTAGGAGACTGGATAGGAGGAGATGATCATGCACCTGCCAGAGAATTAGCATGACATGCGGCGGGTTGCATACCAAAGAAAATGCTCACGCGTAGATGAAGATGAAGATCCAGATATGCCATCGCTTGAGCGTCCGTTTGAACACGTCGAGGCTCATCTTCCCCGGGCGGCGGATATTGGCCCTCCGCGCCCGGTCCTTCGCCAGGGCAATGTCATCATCCGTCAAGAAGAAGGTCCGCGGGGAATCGGGCACACCGGGGAAGATGAAGAAACCCAGGATTGCCACGGGGATGGTGAAGATCCCGTCGATGATGAACAGCCATCGCCACCCGGGCATGCCCCCGACCCCAGACAGGTTCGTGTAGGCGGCCGCTTGCAGGTATCCACTGACCATGGTGCCAAGAGCGTTGCAGATGAACCATGTGCCGGCTCGCTTGAAGAGCTCGGGGCCGGAGTACCACGATCCTGGATGTCTTTAGTGTAGGCGAAGGAGGCAGGAGGGAGGAATACGGACCGAGAATGAAATGCGTTCCCGCGAACACTGGCGCTTCAAACATGCCCACGAGAACTCGAAGAGCATAGAGCTGGTGGACATTGGTGACACGACTCTGGGCGAAGGTGCAGACTCCCCATAGGATCTCGAGCGTGGGAAGAAGCCATCGTGCCCTAACCTGATTAGCGAGGGGAAGCTCTAGGAGAGGACGCGATCTTACAGTTTCGGACGGGACATCAACAGCAGACCCGGGACTTGGAAGACCACATATGCAGTGATATAACAAGTGTTGAAGTAATTGAGTTGGTTGCCATTGAGCTGGAAATCCTCCTTCAGCCCACTAACATAGGCGTTGCTGATGTTCGTCTGATCTGGGGCTCGTTAGTCCGCGGGCAGACTGGCGTGAAGTTATCAGCTTACCCAGATATTTGACAAAGACTAGCCGACATTAGCAGTTGGTTCGGAGGCCAGGTGCGAATATTCTTACAGCAGAGACAGGCGAATATCAGGATTGACAAATCCAGCTTGAATAGCAACCTGAAAGGTTAACTGGGTGAACGACCAAGCTACCTGGATCGCCAGACTCACTTGCGCTCATTTGCCGGGTAATTCGACGGATACCAGTTAAAGACCTCCTTGAAAAGCCCCCAAGGCCCCAACTTGACACGAGCTGCGGTCTTGTCGGACATCGTAACGAGTCCTTGCCTGTGTCACCAAGGATGATCTTTCCGTTGTCGGCCTTCACCTCGACATATCTGCCGACTCATCCGGGAATTTATACTCCAGTCAGTGACCATACAAATGAGGCAACAGAGACGACGAATTGTTGTTGAGATATTTGCCATGACTCCACATCCTCTCGTCATAGATGCATGCGGCGAATGCGACAGGGACAGGGGCCAGGAGGGGTTATGACTGCAACATTTTCGTGCGGGATGGCGTGCCACAACCCTGGTCCAGCAGAAACTCAATCAGTTGTTATCTCTGACATGAGTCAAGCCTGAGGTGGTTGAGTGGCTGCGCGAGTCGAGATGCTCGATAAGGATGGCGTGCTTTGCAGTGCGGGTTCGCAATTCACTCAACGTGCGGGGTTGAGTTGATGTATCGGCAGACAACAGAGTTTCTGATTCACTGCGGCAATTTAAATGTAGTTGCTCTCGCACGCTAGATCTTATCCAAATACGCAAATACCATCAGTTCTTGTGAGCCTAGAGTCTTGCAAAATGCCGGCCAGATTGATTGACAGATACGACCACGTCCCCGTGACGAAAGAAAATCGTATGTACACTATTCCTGGCTTAAATTGCTGTGCGACGCGACGGTTTTGACAAAGTAGTCCCCTGGGCTGAGCTCGTCACCCTCGACCTGAGTCATTATGACCAGCCGGGAGGTAAGGAAGAGCTTGTCAAGCAACTGGACCATGCCGTGCGACATGTGGGTGAGTATCCGGACCCCCCCCAGGAACAAACATCTTCAGCCCTAATCCCGCCCTGCAGGCTTCTTCTACGTGAAGAACTTCAACATCAGCCAAGACGAGATCGACCGCCAATTTGCACTCGGCCGCGAATTCTACGCGCTTCCATTGGAAGAGAAGCTCAAGTACCACAACAGCGCCGATCTCGCGAGTGGCGAGTACAACGGCTATAGGCCTGCTGGCCACCGGGTGTGAGTGCTACCACTCCAATTCCCTCAAACATGGTTAACATTCTCCAGTCTCGGCAATGGCATCAGGGACAACATCCAAGTTTACAACATCCCCAAGTTCGACGGACACCACAAGCGCCAGCAACCACCGGTGCTAGAGGACAACATCGCAGAGATCGAAGCATTCAGCCGGGTAAGCCTCCCTTTCTCTTGCATTAGCTACGCAAGTCGCTGAGTGAATGCCCAGAAATGCCACAGCGAAGTCGTCGTCAAACTCCTCCGCCTCTTCGCCATCCTCCTCGAGCTCCCCGACGAAGACCAACTCGTGCGCGACCACCAGTACGACGTCAAAGGTGAGGACCACCTCCGCTACATGCACTACGCCGCACGCAGCAAGGAGGAAAACTCCCAAGTGGCCAGTATCTACACCCCGGGCCACACTGATCTCGGCACCGTGACTCTCCTCTTCCGCCAGCCCGTGGCGGCACTGCAGATCCTCAACTCGGAGGGGGAGTGGAAGTGGGTGCGTCCGCAGGACGGAACGATCACCATCAACACGTGCGATGCCTTGACGGCACTCACGGGCGGGTTGATCAAGTCGAGCATTCACCGGGTGCATGCGCCGCCACCGGACCAGGCACATGTGGATCGATTGGGGGTTTTGTACTTCGCGCGGTGAGTTCGCACTCTTCATTCGTCGTATGCCTCGTAATCAAAATACTCATGTGGGGATCAAGGCCCAACAACCATGTGGTACTGGACCCGATCACGAACAGCCCCCTGCTCAATCGGCTCGGACTCACCCAGAATGTATTCACGGAGCTGGGCCAGCATCTGACAACGGAGCAGTGGGTCAAGGTGCGGCAGACGCAGCAGCAGCGACGCAATCGGGATGTGAAGGTCTCGGACGATGGGAAGTTCACCTACGGGGAGAAGGACCTGGAGATTCTGCCTGGGCTGGAAGCCAAGATTTATAATTAGCGCACTCCAGCAGGATTTCAGATCTGCATTCACCTGCATTGTGCACGTGACAGTGATCAGCTAGGCCGTAATTAAAATTCTGCTGTGATGTCAAAATCGACCCTTACATTCACGGGTTGCGCTTGCCTCAAACCTAAGTTGAGCTGTAGACTTGCGGTGAGTTGCGGTTCATCTTCCCTCCTGCCAGGAACCCAGCGGAAACAACCTCAACACACCCTCCACTTCTTATACCTACAATTTTCTTCCTCTGGATAGTCTTGTGTTTCTGCCACAATGTTGCCACGGTGTGGGATACGATCCAGTCTGGGCCGAGCAGCTCGAATCCCAGTCTTTCGGCAACAGACCAAACATTTTCATTACGCGAGGAGCTCCCCAGCGATCCGGGTGGGGTACCTCACAACTACTGGTCTTGCCACCACATCAGGCCTTTATTGGTGGTGGTCCTTAGGCGAAAGATCACCTGCTGAGAATCTAGTCGTTGAGCCTCCTTTCTCCCCCGAAGAAGTCACCCGCATTCTATCCAAAGAGTCATACTCCTTTCTAGTGCGAGATATCCCTGGTATCGCCCGTCATGATGGTGCCCAGCTCGCATCCAACAGCCCCTGCGAAGACCGGCTTACCCATGCCAAGTTCCCCTCCCCGTGGCATAGCGACAACAATCCCTGGATGGCGTGGGCAGTCTTCGACGGCCATGCCGGCTGGCAAACGGCGGAGCTCCTTGAGAATCAGCTCATTCCCTCGGTGCGCCACTGCCTGAGCCAAGTGACGCCTGATTCGGACGGAAACAAGTCGCTAGTGGGCGAGGATGCGGTTCAATGCGCCATCAGCAATGCATTCGTGAATCTCGATGATGCCATTTTCAAGACAGCCTTGGAGGCGTCGCAGAACAATCAACCTCTACACCAGAGGGTTCGCGACCTTCTCCCAGCCTTTGCTGGCTCCTGTGCATTACTATCCATCTTCGATCCGGACACCAGTGCATTGCACGTGGCGTGCACAGGAGACTCGCGCGCCGTGCTGGGACAGCAACAGCCCGACGGGAGGTGGGAGGCGATTCCTCTGTCCATCGATCAGACTGGTAGCAATGAGGGAGAGATTGCCCGGATCTGCAGCGAGCACCCTGGCGAGGAAGATATTTTCAAAGATGGACGCGTGCTGGGACTGATGTGCACGCGGGCCTTTGGAGATGGTCGGTGGAAATGGCCCGTGGAGCTCCAGCAGGACCTCCGCCGCAGATTTTATGGCCCCGCCCCGCTCACCCCCAAGTACGACGTTCGCACCCCGCCTTATGTGACTGCCGAGCCCGTCGTGACCACCGTCAAGGTAGACCCGACACGCCCTTCGTTCTTGATCATGGCTACAGATGGTCTGTGGGATATGCTCTCCAGTCAGCAGGCGGTCGATCTGGTCGGGAAATGGCTGTCGGGAGGGGCGAGGACTGAGGAGAGCGGCTCGTCCCCGGCAGCCTCCGACAAACCCTTCGATTTCGGTCATTTTCGGGACGGCGTGGACTGGAGGTTTGTGGAGGATCGAACGACGGTGCAAGATGACAACGTGGCGGTGCACCTGGTGCGCAATTGCCTCGGTGGCAGCGATCTCGAGTTGCTGGCAGGGCGACTGGCCTTTGCCCCTCCGTTTTCCCGAACTCTGCGTGACGATATTACCGTGCAGGTGGTGCTTTTTGGAGTTGCAGGGTTGCAAAGTACAAAGCAGGAATGAGTTAGCCTATGAGATTGACCTCGTTATTCAGCGACGATTCGGAATGCTTGGACAGGAATCCAGGCCACGGCAGTCACTTCATAGCTTATTATCAAACAGCGACACTCATAGTAGAGCATCGTATCGTACCTACGGACAACTATGAGTAGCATGGACTGCACTATATGCCACTGTCTATTGATCAGTAACAGAACCTGTGGACATTGAAGGTAAACCCTCAAAATAGCCGAGGTCGTGCGGAGATGGGTCGACCGCCAAGCTTCAGTGGAGCCAAAATGTGGGCTTAAAAAGTCCCAGCTCCGGTGGAGAAGTCCTGAACTCTCTAATGGTGTCATGAATTCTCCGCTGGCTACCTTGGCTTCAATGTTCTGGGCGAAACCCCTCTTGCCCCGTGGGGAAACCCTAGGGTCGATGGACTACATAAAGAAGGCTTTTCTCCCGTCCCAAGCCCTGTTTACAAGTGGCAACCAACATCACCTACCTCAGCAATGCACATATCGTCACTTTTCTCGGCTACAGCCCTGGTGGCTGCCGCTACAGGCGCTGTCCTGCCACGCCAAGACGCGTCATACTATGGCTACCTCCTCTCCACGTTCACGGACGCCGACCCTCGAGTCTTCTGGTACCTGTCTACCGCCGAAAACCCCCTGGCATTTACTGCACTCAATGGCGGCAGCCCCGTGCTAGAATCGACGGTCGGGACCAAGGCTGTCAGAGATGTGTTCCTCACGGCGAACCAGGAGAAGTCGGAGTATTTCGTCATCGCTACTGGTGCGTATCGCTGTCCTCACCCTAAGAAGGTGCATCAACACGAAGCGGCTGTGACTGACGGTGGTAGATCTGGATATCAACGCAGACGGATTCTCCTGGGACGAGGCCACGCGCCGGGGCAGTCGAGGCCTGACGGTGTGGCGCTCGGAGAATCTAGTCGATTGGTCTGCGCCTACATTAGCAATGTATGCCATCTCACATGAGACCAAAATTTCGAACATGCTCGCTAATATGCACCCAGCATCGAAGACGAGACCGCCGGCATGGCGTGGGCCCCTTCGGTGGTCTGGAACACCACCGAAAGCCAATACTACCTCTTCTGGTCCTCGCGCCTCTACAACACCACGGACACCAACCACACCGGCACGGCCACGCTCGACCGCATCCGCTACACGACGACCACCGACTTCGTGACCTTCGCCCCGCCGGCCGACTACCTCGCCCTGGACAGCGAAAACATCCCGCTCATCGACCAGGAGTTCCTGGCCCTCGGGGACACGCCAGGCCACTACGTGCGGTTCCTCAAGGACGAGAACGTCCTCCACGTCTACCAGGAGACCACGACGGGGGGTCTCTTTGGCGAGTGGACCCGCGCGGAGGGGTATATCCAGGATGGGGTGGTGTATGAGGGCCCTGCGGCGTTTCCGGATATCCAGGATGCCACCAAGTTCCATCTGCTGCTGGATAATTATGTCGAATACGTGCCGTTTGAGAGCACGGATGTGGCTACGGCGGAGTGGGTGGCCTCGGACCGTACGGGGTTCTCGACGGGGTTGAAGCATGGGAATGTGGTGCTGGTGACCAAGGGGCAGTATGATGCTATCGTTGCACGGTATGGAGCGTAGATCTGGGACTGTTGCGGGCATGATGATGGGGATGGGGATGGGACGGAGAAAATGGGCTGATCGACAGCGTCCCGTCGGGATTTTGCCGGTTGAGGTTAGGGCTATGGTTCGGAGGACTTGGCGAGGAGGTCGACTGCCAAGTGCCACGGTGGAGGAGACCAGGCTCAAATGGTAAGGATGATAATAATGATGATTCCCTGCTTGCTCAAGTCATTTTCAATGGCATCAACCATAAATAATCAGATGGTGTGAGATACCTGTCGCTGTAGCCGCACTGAAGCTAAGCTATATGCCCCAAGATCAATCTGAGAATACACCTTCACAGCAAACCCTTTCCCAATTTCGACAGTGAAATACTGTACTCAACTGATCTTTCGTCATTGACTAATAGAGCAGACTGCAAGATAGATAGAAACACGGTCTACCACCAACCAACCCCTACTCCACCCAATACTTCCTCGCCCACTCCTCCGCCGTCAACGCCCGCAACCCAACCTGATAGTTCCACGTCTCCTGCAAATCCCACGCAACGCCCTTCCCCTCCCCAAACACGACCTGGTACTTGAACAACCCATTCCCAGGCTCCCTCGCTAAATCCGCTCGCGCAGCCTCCACCGTCCTCACCTCCCGCTTGAACTCCTTCCCAGTAACCCTCTTCACCAACCCCGCCAACTCGCCATAGCTCAGCGTATCCCCTGCCACCTTCAGCACCTGGTTTCCAAACCCCCCTCTCAATGACCCCCCAAGCACCACCTCCACCGTAATCCTCCCAATATCCTCCACCGCCGTAACCGTCACCCGATTCTCCCAGCTGCCCAGCGCCCGCACGACCCCCGCACGGGCATCCACCACCCCAAGCCCCGCATCGAAGAGGAAACTCGTGAACATGCCCGTCGACACAATCACCCATTGCGTTGCAGTCTGGGAGCGCAGCAAGGCCCGCACATCCAGCTGCTCGTCGAAGAGCTCCTGCGCCGATCCCCGACCAAGTACGTCATAGTCCACCCCAAACTGCCAGGGGATGAAGCGCGGGACCTGCGCGGCGAGGACAGCGCGCGCGAGCTTGAGCTGCACCCCGGGTCCGGCGGCGAACCCCGTGCAGCTGATGATGGTGTCGTAGTTCCGGAAGAGCTGCGTCAGGTGGGACTCGGGGTCTGTGGCGATGTCGCTGGCGAGGGTGTCGATGTTGAGGGGGTGGAGGGTGGTGGTGAGTTCGTCGGCGTTGTTGGGGGAAGCGATGCGCGAGGGGCGGAGGAGGACGGTCAGTTGTGTGGCGCGACGGTTGGAGTGCGTGGCGAACGAGCGGAGGACTTGTGTGCCTAGTTCCCCGGCGCCGATGACGAGGATGCTTTTGGGGGTCGGGGACATGATGGCAGTGTAGTATATCGACTGAGGAACTGTGTTGGTCCTCCTGAAATGGAGGAACTACTGGCTTAAATACACTTTGGTGGATTGATAATCATGGATGAAGTAGGGTTGGTTAGCCAACCAGTGAGCATCGGCGACTTTCCTACGGGATTCTCCGCCTCGCCTCCTGCTACGTAATTACTTCTCACTCCACTGCGGCCACCCCAGGTATCCCTCCTCCCCGGAGGTGTAGAAGGTAGGTCGATGGTACTTGGTCAAAGGCAGTCCCTTAAATAGTCGCTCCGGCAGATCCGGATTGGAAGTGAAATACCGCCCGAAGGCTGCGAGATCGATGCGACCTGCAGTCACTGCCGTGTCAGCAAACGGAACCCTAACTCACCACCGCCAACAGGGGCGAACTCACCCTCCTCTATAGCCTGAGCAGCGGAAACCGCATCATACCCACCAGCCCCAATAACCGGTGTAGTCTTCAGAATCCTCCGAAAGGGCCAGATCGTCCTGTCCCCCATCCCCTCACCATCCACTTTTTCCCTTGCAATACACCCCGAGAACGCCCCCTCCTTACTCCCCAAATCATACCGCGGCTCCACCAAGTGCACATACGCCAGCCCCTTCGCCTCCAGCGCCGCCGCAAACGCCCCAAACGTAGCCACCCGATCACTATCCCCGGTGCCCTGGAGCACATGAAACGGCGCCAGTCGGACCGCCGTCCGCCGCGCCCCCACCGCGCGCACCACCGCATCCACCACCTCCAACGGGAATCGTAGGCGATTCTCAACAGCCGGTCCACCATACTCATCCCCCCGCGTATTGATATTATCATGCACAAAGCAATCAAGCAAGTACCCATTGGCCGCGTGGATTTCGACCCCATCGAACCCAGCAATCTCAATGGCACGACGCGCCGCCGCAGCAAACTGTGCCACCACCTCTTTGATTTCCGAGACGGTCATCGCATGCGAGGGAACGTAAGCTTCTCTCTCCGCTTCCTCGGGCCCCGCTCCAAACGAGACATGATACCCCGGGAGATGTGCAGTCGTGGAACTCAACGGTGGCTGGCCGTCGGATAGACTGGGGACGGCGACGCGGCCGACGTGCCACAGCTGCGCGAAAAAGGTCCCGCCGCGGGCGTGCACGGCGTCCGTGATGGGTTCCCAGGCTTGGGCGTGCGCGTCCGTCCACAGGCCTGGCGTGCGCGGGAAGCCCTTCCCCCGCGGGTGGATGGTTGTCCCCTCGGAGATGAGGAGGGCACCGGGCTGAGTCGTGCGTTCGGCGTAGTAGGTTGCTGCCGTGGGGTTGATCAGGCCTGTGGTGTTGGAGGCGCGCATGCGGGTCATCGGGGCGAGGACCACGCGGTGGGTGAGGGAGAGGGCGGGGCTGGTGAAGGGGGTTTGGAGGGCGGGCGGGCTGGGGGTGAAGGAGCCCATTTTGAGGTGCTGGGGTTTGGGTTTGGGGCTGGGTGTTGATGGTGGGGTTGGGTGTAGGGGAGGTTAAATACCGTGCAGGTGTTTTCTTACCTCCAATATGACGTGGTGGTGTCTTGTTTGCTGCTGCTTATCAATCCAGTGTTATAGAGGGTAGAGAAACTAGTGTCAATGCAGCCCGCAATATTGCTCAAAGGGCGCAGTATGATTCTATTTTCTATTACCTCCCTGTCATGATCAGCACTCTGTGGAGGCTGGTAGCCATATATTGATTTGTAAGCCCTACATGACATCTTCGTATCGAAACGATGGCCTAAAGCCACAGCTAGTAAATATACTCCGCATGACTCTCACCTTATTATGAAAGTCAAATCTCAGTTGTCATTCCACCTAATCCTCACATGGTAATTCGCTGCTAGATGTAGCCATTTCCACCCAAATTGCCTTCCCGGCCCCATCAGACGCACAGTCCAGCCAGGCGAACGACTGCAAAACTTCTAGAAGCTCATCCCAAGAGTCAATCCTCAGCACCTGGCAATGCTCTCTCATCCTGGCGACAAACCAGCCCTTGATAAACGGAGTAGCATCCGCACAGATCGCCGCCACCACGCAACACCATAGAAGTATCTCGCATTCGTGCTTTGTCACTTCGCGTCCCTGCAGCCGAACCATGTTCTCATAAATTTCATTTGTCATCGTAGCCCGTAAGCGAGACATCCTCGGAAGCGGCAGGATTACGCTTGCGCCATAGAGAAGGGCTGTACTACGACATACAAGATACACGGCGATCGACCACTGCTGCTGCTCAGCCGTACAATCCGGTCTTTTATGCAAGATAGCGCTGACCCGGTCTCTGTGATCAGGCAAGCTGCACAACTGGTGCAGCGCGCTGGCCCGCGTATCGCCTATCTGCGTCAGGAGGGTGGCGCCGCAGCTCTGATTACTGAGAACATGCAGGGCCTGGGTGATCTCGTTGAGGTCCAGAAAGACGCGAATGAGATTGCCCTTGACTGGCGGAGAGAGCAGGGCGAGCTGCTGGAAGCCATAATTGCGGCGCGTAGCGTGACGCGGTGGCGTGCGGATGGAGAGGGCTTGCAGGGGGGCGCGGTGTAAGCACGGTTTCCCCTCGGGGGATATGAGGGGAAAGACGGGTCTGCGGTGTGTGTTCATAGCGACTATTAAGCCCGATCTGGAAAATGGTATCATTTATCAATCTAAGTCCTCGGGGGAGACGGGATGATTTACGGACATGGAAATAAGCCAAGCTAGTCCGTACAGCTTTACTGTCTCGAGGCCTCCCCGCTCGAGAACAATATGCTGGACGGTCTGCCAGTGGAGCGGGTGGAACTCGCAACTGCCGTAGAACTCCATGAGTTGCAGGCTGCGAAAGGGCGGAACAAACGGGCTCGTCTCCGGTGGCTTGACCTGGTCGAGGTTCTCATTGGCAGCGAGGTACAGGATACTCAGCAGGATGTCGTCGACCCAGTCGCAACCGATATTGTGCTGGGTGACGGTCGACAACTTCTCCCGGATGCGGATCATGACGGATCCTTTGAGTCGGAGTTGCTCTGCCGTGTCCAACGAGGCCCGCTTGGTGGCGCCCCGTATCATTGGTAGCGCGTTGAAGTGGAGGGAGGCTGAGTACAGCATCGATTGCACGACCATCGGGCTTCTGGCGGGATGCAAGTATGCCTGCAGACTGCGCTCGGAGAACTCTCTGGGACGGGCCATAGGCCACAGCACATGTGTGCCTCATGCAGGGTTAGCAGGCCACCACCTTCTCACGTTTGAAGCGAACCTACAGTGGTGGAGAAGGAGATCAAAATGAGGAGTTGCTCTGTAGCGATCGGCAAGAAATGGATCAATCCGGCTGTTGCCGATTTCCCAGGGTTTGATGCTAGGAGAGAGCTGCCCGTATTCAGAATTGATACCAGCGCACTGGGAGCATGATCTTTCTCGGAGCCCTGTGGCAAAAAGCGGCCTTGGTTGTAGAACTCGGGGGGTTCGAGCTGTAGAAGCCTGGTCAGTGGGCGTTCTAGCCCGCGCTACATCAGGATTGGCTGCAAGCACTTCCTCGGTGCATTGACAGATGAGAAACCTGGAGGCCGTCTGTTGGTTGTGAAGACTACCACTGTTTACTGTCTTTGCTCTCTCCAAATGTCGTCGGCGCATCAGCTGTGAGCGAATCAGTGAGGTGTTGGGTGTGGTTCCTCGTATCGTGGGGCCGTGTACGAAAGTGTACGGCCGGGCTGCTCCGTCATTAGACTTCATTCTCCCCCTAACATATCTCTCGTGCTTTGTATGTTGGTCGTACTGTACACCTTTCGATCTGTGGGCAGATGAAGTACTGATGGTAGGAGGGGTTTGGATAAACGTTGATCATGGATGATAAGATCATTAGCCGGAAGAGGTAATATCTCCCTCCTGCTGATTGGGTAGAGCTCCCGCCACTAGAAAATGTGCCAAGAAACCCTAAGCATGAAGAAGCTGACAGGCAGAAGACGTTTTGGCTGTCGAGAACACTCGATGATCTCAGATACGAGGCGAGTGACAAAGAAAGTGACAAAGAAAGTGACCAGGATGCTGACAAATTAGTCGTCATTGAGTTCCTCCCCGACTCAAGGCCCCAGAGCGTGCTTGGTACACCCAAGATTATTAGGCTATATATGCAGCTATCATGTCAGTACCTCCATATCCCTTGGTCATTACAAAAACCTACACTTTCTCTGATTTCTATCCCATATCCCAGAATACCTGAGCCATGGCAGCCACTCAGTTGAAGAAGCTCAAGCTCCCCACCTCCAAAGCGCAAGTCTTCTACCGCGAAGCGGGTGCCGGGTCAGCCCCGGTAATTCTCCTCCTGCACGGGTTCCCCTCGTCCTCGCACCAGTACCGCAACCTCATCCCAATCCTGGCCGCCAAATACCGGGTCATAGTCCCGGATCTACCGGGCTTTGGCTTTACAGAAGTCCCCGAAGGCTTTGAGTACACCTTCGACGCGCTGGCCGCGGTGATCTCCGAGTTTCTGGACCTCCTCGCCATCCGCCAGTACTCCATCTACATCTTCGACTACGGTGCCCCCGTAGGCCTGCGTCTGGCGCTGCAACAACCGGCCGCCATCCAGGCGATCATCACGCAGAATGGCAACGCCTACGAGGCCGGGCTGGGCGCCTTCTGGGACCAGATCCGGGCGCTGTGGACCAGCGACAACGACGCGGCCGTGCGAGGGAAGCTCGCGACTGGCCTGCTGAGTCTCGACGCCACCAAGTGGCAGTACGAGGAGGGCACCCGTCCCAATTGCCTCGTGGCGCCTGAGTCCTACTCGCTAGACTATGCCCTGCTCCAGCGCCCGGGCAACGCGGACATCCAGCTGGATCTTTTCTGGGACTACCGGAACAATCTGCCGCTGTACCCGGAGTTCCACCGGTTCTTTCGCGCGTCGCAGGTGCCCCTGCTGGCGGTCTGGGGAAGGCATGATCAGATCTTTGTGCCGGCGGGAGCCGAGGCGTTCAAGGCCGATTTGCCTGAGGCGGAGGTGCATCTGTTGGATGCGGGCCACTTTGCGGTGGAGACGGAGACGGCGGAGATCGGGGCGCTGATCCTGGACTTTCTGGCGAGGAAGGGGATTTGATCTTGGATGGAAAGGTGTGAGCTGTGCTTTGTGGTAAGTCGAGAGAACGGAAAAGTACCACAGGGCTGCAGAGAAAGGACAGGAGGGCAATGGTTTACAAGAGTAAAATATTATCAACAAGGCACAATTAGTGACTTAATATCATTGTTTCCAGAACGGAGAAGGACTAGGAGAATTCTAAACTGTGGCCTGTAGTAGTATTGATAATGTCGGTAGAAGCAGGTATTACAACGACACTGGGAATGGACTTTCTACTTGCAATCTGGACTCATTAGACTTAATATGCGGATTGCAACCGAAGGCGATGAGGTATGTCTCTCTTGTTGAACTCCGTCAGTCATCTCGACGTGAGCGACTCCTTGAATGCTAGAGTTAGCTGAAGGATTCTTTAGTAGGCGAAAGCGGTAAATGCTTCTACCATGCATTGCATATGATCATCTCGCGCGAGGGGGTCCAGTTAGGGTAAATTGACCCAGCTCACCTGGACAAATTGGGTGTAAGGTAAATGGACCTATCAGGTACGTTGCAGAAAAGGCTGATTGCAAGTTGTAGTATCATTATTTCCAAAGGAGCCCTAAGAACAGCGAGAAACCTGAGCAGGTTCTAGCGGTGCCTGATTCAATCGCGCTCGGGGATTGTTGCTCTCAAAGACGCCCTCTGGCCTATTTGATGGTCATCCAACGGTTGGCTGGCCACCAACTCATAGTCTTAGTGCAGTATCTGACTTCAAAAGGGCACCTCGTGTCAATACAGATTGTAGCCAAGGCTATGCCAGCTTTCATAATCCACTGTTTTTCATAAATCATCATCTGTAACAAGAACAATACTTTCGATCAGCTTTGGTTGGTTCTCTTAGGATGTGACGGCCAGTCGTGGCTTTCAGCCTTCTCGACCAAGAGACCTGCGGCCTCGCTGGCAGGCTGCTCGCGTTGATATCCCCGCTCAAATAGCCTCATATAGCTAGAATAGAACACGTATTCATGTACCCGACAATGTTGCCAGGGACGCAAGCGTCCAATACAATTGGTAATAACTCAGAACAAAGTGACTCGAAATAGACCTTGTCGATGCCAGCCACTATGTTTACAATAAACAATATATAGAGAGGCTGACTTGACTTTCGCTGGATTAAGTCATAGCGTGGAGAGTATGGGAAGAACTTGAGAAAGAGTGAAAAGAAATAGATAAAAGAAAAATGACTCAAAAAATAGGAGAAGGAGGACGAACACAATCAGTATTGTTCGCTTCCAGCTTTCACATGTAGCACGATGTGCCACCCTCATCCACAATCGACCCACAAGTTGAGATTATTCAGTTTCGTCTGTACTCATCTTCTGCTCTCGACGTGATTGCAAGCAGAAGCTTTCCTAGCTCACGTACGTGCGTGACATCCAATGTATTCCACGGACCATATTGGTGCATCTTGAGAAACGATGTATCATCTTCCGGGGGAGTTGATAAGACGTCGGTGCCGTTTAGATACACTAGATAGTGGTCGTTGTACTCGGCCACGGTCACATAGATTTCGTGTCGATCCTGCGCGATATGGACCCGCCTAGTTTTCATACTGTCAGAGACGACGAGAGGTTTAAGTGAGATGGGGGTTCTGCAGAAGGCTTACTTCTGGTGGCGCCTCTGGGCGGACTCATCATCACTCAAAATCCAAGCGACCATTTGTGCGCTCTCCTGCATCTGAATTATGGCAGGGTTGCCAGATCTTGAAACTGGTTTGACATCGATGATGACGCTTGGCTTCCCCTCGCGATCGTGCAAGTATCCATCTGTTCTTGCTTCGAATTGAGCCTCGCGGAACTTGGCAGTGAATGCTCGGCGATGAAGGGTCCATATGGAGGTGAGTTCGGTGTGGATAGTCAGGGCATTCAGGAAGACGATCAGGGCGGTATTCACAATCTGTTCAACCTTTGTTGGGGGATACAGAACGTTGATCAACTCGGATGGGACTGGGGAATACGGCTGATAGGGGCTTGGCTCTTCTTCACTGGAACTGAGGTCCTCGTCTTCGGAGACGTCGAAAAACTATTGAAATATCATCCTATCTTTTTTGAATCACATAATATATAGCTTAGTGGTTAGTATTTTTATTAGTAATCTTAATACTGTAGGTTTTTTCTTTAGTTTTTGACCAGTTGACCTGCTTGTTAACCAGTTACATAACTAAATGGTAAAGTATGTAATAATAAACCCATATTTCATATGACCAAAGCAACAAACAATAAATTATGTAATTTACAACTCCCTACTAGGGACTAGGTACTAGGTGTACTAGATAGTCAACTACGTAACTTACGAGTTTCCAAGTGGGTTTGCCATCAGCGCGTCGACAAGCCCTGAAAGAGCTAGAGGCCAGTATCGAGGCTCTAAAAGTGCACGACCTAGCATCCCACAGCTCAAGCAGTTGGACATTCGGGTCCAAGAGATGGCTCTCAATGCCAGTTCAATGGACAAGCCTTACTTCTTCCTACCCCGCTCGAACTTTTCATTGCCTCCTGCCGAGTGCGTTCAAAATCACGGAATACTTGGGCGATGAGGACACTTCCCTCAAACGGCCTGTAGATCGTGCATACCAGATTCAGGCCAACTGGTCAAGCTATTGCAGGAGCTATATCTCTAGACTGGAGGGCTGGCCATAGTAGTCGGAAGAGTAAGTCTGCCCTTAACCCTAACTGCGTGACTTTCAATAGCTTCAACCCCTTCGCACTAACACAAGCATCCAGTCCTGCCGATCACAAGACATACAAGCACGTGTACCAGTACAACCAACCCGAGTTTGGTGCTTTCAATCTAATGGACATCCGCGGGTCGAGCTTCCCATACAGCAAAGCGGCGATCTACAACAACATAGAGGGGGTTCATCACAAATTACTTTGTAGGGAGCTCCTGATCCCTTCGGGTAATGCTGGGTCGGTTGAAGAAACGGCCTCTTCTGGAACATATGATTGCACCGGTACCTCTCTCTCCCTCTTTACAGCCCAGGGACAAATGACTGATCAGGCATTCCCATCCAGGTCTTCATGGTGTCCTTTATGGGCAAACATGCTCATGCGATTGAAGCATACTACGACAGGCAGGACCTGATTCTGAGGCGCACTGCCTTTTACAATTTCCCAGAGCAAACTTCTCCTGCATTGAAGGAGCTGGGAGAGTGGTACTGTGGCAATCCAACGGGGAATACACATTAGGAGTGCTTTCTTCTCCCCTTTTTTTTCTCAGGTCTTTGGTCTTTGGTGGTTCTGGCGTCGTGTGGTTCGGGTGTCAATGGATTTGATGTTGGGGGCTGGCTGGGACTTTCGCAATGCGGCGCAGGCGCTTGCATATTTGTTATGGTTTGACCTAGCTCTATCAAACCGATGTGATAACTCTTGAACATCTCTTGGATTCTTCCCTCACTGCCCCTCTCCGCGCTCGCCTCCACTAGAAAACTGGTACATCAACAAGCCCACCAACAAAGCACCTTGCAACCCCAAATCAATCTACAAACAACCCCCCGGAAGCCACCAAATGCACGCCGTTGATCCACCGTGACCGCTCCTCGCACAGAAACCCCACGGCCCAGGCAATCTCCTCCGGCTGCGCCATCCTCGGCCCAACAGGCGTCTGGTCGATCGTTGGCTGCAGAATCCTCATCTGCTCCTCCCCCGCCGCAGCGAACCCCTCCGTCTTCGTCGGCCCGGGACTGACGGCGTTGACCGTACAGCCATACTTAGGAGGAAGCTCCTTTGCCCTGCAGCTTGAATGAGCCCCAACTCAACCTCCTACAACAACCCTCATTCTCACTGTGACAGGGGAGAATCAAACACACCAACACTTCGTAAAGGAATCCACCATCCCCTTGGTACCAGCATAGATGGTCTGGTTCGGCGGCGGCGCCCTCGCACTGAGACTGCAGATATTTACAATCCTCCCTTCGCCTCTCGTCAGATGCTTCAGACTCGCCTGTGTGAGAAGAAACGTGCCCCGTCCGTTGAGATTCACCAACGCGTCCCAGTCGTCGAGGGTCTGCTCCTCCAGCGGCTTGTTGACCGCCACCGCGACACTGTTCACCACGATATCCAGCCGGCCCCATTTGGCCATGGTGGCGGAGACCAGTTGGCCCGGGCCGGGGGTGGTGGACATATCGGCTTCGACGGCGATGGCGGGCGAGGGTAACGAGCCGACCACGCGTTCGGCCTGCGGTTTCAGGCTGGGGAAGGGGTAATTGATGACCACACGGGCACCCCGGGCGGAGAGTTCGCGGGCGATGGCGGCGCCAATTCCAGAAGAGGAGCCGCTGATGATGGCGACCTTGTCTTTGAGGGTTTGCGGAGTGGTGGACATTGTGGTTGTGGAGGGGGGTTGTTGACCTAGTTGGTGGTTGAGTTGGTGAAGGCGAGTCGTGGGGGACATTTTGGATGAGAGGTGATAAAGAGCCAAGTTGTTCAAGTTGTGGAAGGAATGATCCTGTCGGGATTGACCCAGCTATACCGGAAGGAATGTGTGGACACTGTCTCGCAGGTTGACGTCTACGGATGTCTTGCCACACCAGTGCTTCCGATTGTCTCCACAACCCGATCTGACGAGCTCCAGATTCTTTCTCATGCCTCGTCCTGATGTTCGAGGTGGTACTTACTCCCGAGGTGGGCTCTTCGGGAGAGAATAGGAGAGAATAGGAGACTGCTTCCCCGGTCGATCGGGCGAACAGACTCTCCCAGGCTTGGTGAGCTAGCGCCGGAAAACTAGTTCTCCGGTATTCTCTGCTGCCTAAGGTGGGTGGGTGAAGACCTGCATTCAAGCTTTGCTACGGCTTTTTGAATTCTCAGCTTCTGCAGGGCGAAACATCTGGGTGGGAGCGTCGAGTATATCAATTGGCTTTCCTTGCTGGTCCTGTGCCCAAGTCTTGCCAAGTCTTCTCGCATATAACATCTGTATGATCAAGAGAGACGAGGATGGAGCGGAATGTGGGGTCGTTCATTCAGATGGTGCCTCAATAGTAATACATCATCACTCAGGCTGAAACCTGGGGAAGATGCCGCTTAGTCATGCTCAGCTTCTTATCTGATTGGGTTGTAGGCGCTTTGACCATAATCTTACCTAACCTTATCCCATCCATGATAAATATTGCCACTAGCGCTGCTGCTAAAGCTTTAGCTCTGTGCAAGCATTCCAAACATTGTCTCCGTAGGTAGGGAGTAGTAAGTAGTCCTCAAGGTTGTAAATGTACAGAGACCTGCAAAGGATTTATCCTTACATCAAGAAAAGCACCCTACAACTTCACCTCATTCTCACTAACCAACCCCCGTACCCCCGACACATCCCCCTTATCCAGATACCCACAGATCCGCCCCTCGGGATCAAACCGCCGTCTCAGCTCCATCAGCCTGCGTGCATTGTCATCCGCCCAGAACTTCGTCTTCCTCGCCTGGAAATCCGAGTCCCCCAAATACGCCCCCACCGCATGTGGCGCCACCTTCTGCATGACGTCGGCCACCCACCCCTGACACCGTGCATCATCCCGCGCCTCCTCCCACACCGTATACAGCGCGAAGTAGTGATCGCTCTGCATACTCAGCGCCATATCCGGCAACTTGCGCCGACTGCAGGGGTACATGGCGTACCAGAGGGCGAAGGCCTTGCGGTGAGGGAGGGTGGTGAACGCCTCCTCCAGCACAGTCGGGACATCCGCATCGTTCCGAATGTACGCGTTCTCGGCGCAGTATCGGTGGCCCTCCGGATTGGCTTTCGCTTGGTTGTCGTACTGCTTCTCCAGACTGTCTGTCTCGCAGAACCATTCCACAATGGCCCCGGGAGGGCGGGAGTCATGCAGTGGGCGGAGGGCGGCTTCAGCGGTCGCAGGGTCGTGCTTCATCGTCACGAAGAGGACGAACAGGCACAGCTCATCCATTCCTTCGGGGTACTGCGCGACGACAGCAATTTCGGTGTCCTCGTCCGAGGCCGGAGTGGCCTGTAGGACCCAGCGGAAGGCTTCGCGGTAGAGTCGGATCGGGTAAATGTAGCCGGACGAGCGGAAGCCGTCGCGCGGGTAGGGGAGGAGTTCGAGGTGGTACTTCGAGACTACTCCAGGGAAACCTGGGATGCGATTGTGTTAGCGAAGAGGATGTGTGGTGAGAGCTGTGGGGATGTACGCCACGTACCCGGACCGGCCCCGCGCGCAGCCCAATACAGCTCCCGATTCTGGGTGGCGTTGCAGTGTAGAACATCGCCCCGTGCGGTAACCACATCGACAGCCTGAACGCGCTCACACGCCCAGCCCCAATTCTAAGAGTACCTGTCAGCCAAAGCATCGGAAGGCAGCCGGTTTTGGGGCCTCGTACCCGACAATTCCACCCCATCCCGCCCTGGAGCAGAAATCCTCCCAGCCCAACATCCGGACAATGGCCCCCAGGAAACATCAGATCGTGCTCCTTGATGAGGACCCCATTTAGCTCCCGTCCTGTCATGCTGGGCGTGGCTCTTGCCGTCCGAGTGGCGGGGTCGACGTCCAGTTGCTTGTAATTGCCGAGATCGAGTAGAATCGAGTTGTCACGCACGCTCCAGGCGGCCCACGAATGGCCCCCGGAGCGCACGGCAAGCCGACATTTCTTCGCTTTGGCAAGCTTGACAGCTGCGATGATGTCTTCCTGACAGGTGGCTTTGACCACGGCCAGGGGGAAGCGGTCGGGTCGTCGGTGGTTGAAGACTCGGCCCACGCGGGCCTCCTCGTATTCGGCGGCGGGCGCGGAGTCGCGCCAGATTATGTGCATCGTGTCGGAGGAGACAAATGGTAATGATTTCGGGGAGAGGTAGAAGGTGTGAAGTTAATTCGAGCTGTAGGAAATCGATTGGGGCTGGAGCCGACTAATTATATGCAGGCAGGCTAGCTACGAGCGACAGAAAGTCAGCCAGTGGCTTAGGGCTTTGTTTGTGGCGGCAGCAAATCGGGGACTGGCTGTGGGCCACTTGCCTTCCAAGTTCCCCCTTACCCCGCTTGCTTTCTCAACCTGCGACTCGTAAGCATCCCATTATCTGCCTTTCGCCGATCTGGGGAAGACCCTCGTTGCCGAGTGTGGGGGGAAAAGGAGATTCACGGTTTTGGACACCGTGATTGTTGCTCCTGTGCTGTACAGACACTCAACCCCTTTGCGCCGGGTGCCCACCGCCACAGTGATTCTGGATAGGGCTGGCACGGGTGTATGCTGGAGTGACCATGACAGCCACCACCTCTTGCCTTGCCGTGCCTCTCTTATCTAGAGGCAGTTTCCTGCACATCGTTGCTTTTGTCTATATATGGCAGGTCCAGCTCCTCTCGCCGAGTACAGCAGTCGAGGCCTCGCCCCTTAGCCGCCCACCATGGACTCAAAGCCCACCGAATCCCACCACGAAACCGTCCCAAAGGACACCCTGGGGACTCTTCGTCTCCGGCATCATGAGACAAACGAGATCCTCTTGGTCCCTACACCTTCGCGGGATCCTAATGACCCACTCAACTGGTAGCCATATCTCCTTATCCTCCTGTCTCTCGTCAGTGTCTCTTCAAGTTATACTAAATCATGGTTTGCACCCAGGTCCTCTGCGTTCCGATACTACATTGCCGTCCTCGTCTGCCTGGCCGTCTTCTTCTGCAACTTTCTGTCTGCAGGCCCAACTGTGGCTATCGTGGAGATCACCGTCGACTTTCTGGGCCCCCAGGGCCCCGATTTCAGCGCCCATATCTCCAAGGTGGCCTATTTCTTCAGCACCACCGCTCTGTGCCAGGGAATTGGGATGCTCTTCTGGATGCCGTTCATCGTCAAGTACGGTCGTCGGCCCATCTATGTCATTTCCTTTGTCCTGTACGTTGTTACTGGGTTCTGGACCGGTTTTGCGAAGACGTATGGGGTGGAGCTGGCCGGGCGGATCGTCATGGGGTTTACAGCAGGTGCAGGGGAGTGCCTGGGCCCGCTGACCATCGCCGATATCTTCTTCTTACATGAGCGTGGTACAGTGATGGCCTTGTATACTGCTGCCCTTTCCATGGGGGTGGCCGGCGGGATCATCATCGACGGGCTCATCACCATTACCCTGAGCTGGCGATACATCTACTACGTGGCGACCGCGTTGATCGGGGGCGTCACCCTGCTTGTTATCTTCACCTTCCCCGAGACTACTTTCGACCGCCAAAAGGCTTTACTAGCGGAGCAATCCAACCCGCGATCCCCATCCCCGCACACCCTGGAATCCGCTACCCTCAGCCCGACCCGCGCAAAGAAACAGCCCTACCTCCGCTCCCTCCGCCTCTTCACTAACACTTACACCACCGAGTCTCTCTTGCAGATCTTCCTCCGTCCCATCGCCCTCATCATCCTCCCCCCGGTCCTCTGGACCTCGCTCGTGTTCGCCGTAACCATCGGGTTCCTCGTAGCTATCACCTCCAACTTCGCGACCGCCTACGCGGCGGCCTACGACTTCACCACCTGGCAGATCGGCCTCTGCTTCGTATCTGGAATGGTCGGCTCCGCCATCGGCATTGCCTTCGGCGGCCACCTGTCCGACTGGACCGCCGACTGGTTCACGCGCCGCAACGGGGGCATCCGGCATCCGGAGATGCGTCTCCCCTCCGTCATCATCGGCGGGGCGTGCGCCCCCGTGGCCTTGATCCTGTACGGGGTGGGCATCAACGACCGGCTGCATTGGATGGTGCCGACGCTGGGGTTGGGGTTGTTGAATTTCGCGATCGTGCAGGCCACCAACGCTACTATGGTGTATGTGATTGATAGCTACCGGCCTGCGGTGGGGGAGGTCACGGTTTCGATTTTAGCGTTCAAGGGTATGATCTCTCGTCCCCCTGTTGCTCCCGCTTTGTTTCAGTTTTTGGGGCCGTGTTGGGTCTGGGTGTTTTGGGTGTTTTGCGAGGGCAAAGATAAGCTGACATGATAATAGCGGCCTTCGGGTTCCTCCTCTCCTTCTACACAAATCCCTGGATCGATCAAAGTGGGTATGCCCTGGCGTTTGGCGAGATGGCCATCATCGCCGGGGTGGTGGTGGTGTTCTTCGTGCCGTTCTATTTCTGGGGCCGGCCGTTGCGGCATCGGACGTGGCAGTGGCGGGTGATGCAGAAGTATGCCCATTGGAGTGAGGATCGGGAGGTGGGGGAGTAGTCTGTCGGTTGCGAGTACATAGGATGTAGTGGAGGGGGGATTGGAGTGTGCGAGCAGGATACACAAGCAATTAATGGTTTCATTGTGTGTTGTGTTGCTCACGACCTGACAGCGGGATTATCCGTGCGAACAGCAAAATGACAGCAAAAAGATGGAGCTGCGGGGAATCGAACCCCGGACCTCTCCCATGCTAAGGGAATATTATACCACTAAACCACAGCCCCTGTTGCTGTCAGGGTGACGCGTTTTGAGCATGATGAACCTATATAATGTGCATAGGTATAGGAAGTAAATCTACAAACCTTTTTAACAAGACGATCAACATACATGTCGCTACTAATGTCTAGTTAAGTTATTATAATATAAGTGCAATCTAAAACCAACTTTGTTACTCTTTTTTTATCTGAATATGTACCCTGTCTTGTCTTTCATTGGCAGGGTATAAGTCAATGGAGAAACCATGCACACAATATATATCCCGCTGCCCAGAAACTTTCCACATCGGTGCCCCTTCCAACCCATCAATGGATCAATCCTTCACCGCTTCTAAATAACCGTCATTATACACCACCCAAGCCCTGAATACTAACCCGTCCAGCAACCCGATCCCGCATCGCCCACCCCCTCGCCTCTTCCTCAATCCTGTCCACCCCCTGCACACCCCCAACCGGTAGATAGAGATACCCCTCCTCTTCCAGCGCAAATAGCGTCTCCTTCACCCAGACCCGACACGTCATCGCCTCGCGGAATTTGGTAGAGTATCCCACAGGAACCTGGGCGAGCCGCTCCGCCAGCGCAGTGTGTAACGCGGGCTCTACCTCGCCCAGTTCCAAGGCCACCAGGAGCCGGCTGCCGTGCGTGATATCCTGCGTGGTTTGGGAGTCGAATGTCCAGACGTCTGAGCCCGGAGCGTTGATGAGGTGGAATGTTTGGCCCTGGGTAGGGGAGGTGGAGAGATAAAGAATCCAGTGGAAGGTGGAGGGGGAGCCGCGGTCGAGGAGGTGGAGGGAGAGGGTGTTGGGCTTGTGGGTCAGGGGGAGGGCCATGCTTGCTTCTGGTAGAGTTGATGGATTAGTCGATGTGAGCCTTGGGTAGTGTATTTATTGTTGGTTGACTGGGATTAGGGAAGGTTAGTGAGAGTTAGGAGTGGAGGATTCGATCATATCTTATCTTCGGCGGGGTAAGCGCCCGCGCGGTTAGTTGGCCATTTGGGTTGCGTTAATCTCTTTTGGGGGAATGCAACCTCACAACTCAGTAGATCGAGGGCACGCAAGGTGATAGCCCGAAGCCGATGCACGGGTCAGGTGACGTCTTTGGGAAGGCTGGAGTGACGTTCATGTACAGTACAGTAGCTATATTATTGAGGCTGTAGGTTTTTGAATAGTGGAAATATGGTTTAGGAAGATTCACAACTAAAGCAAAGAATGTAGGACACAACCAATGCTTGAAAGGGCAACCGATACAGAAGTGTGCTTTGCATGTATTTGCCTCTCTTCACCATTCACTATCGGCCTTACTTCTCTTTTGTATGGAGCTGAGCGACAAGCTGTGAATTGAAAAATACCGATTCCTCACTTAAGACCACTCCCGACCCGGAGACATAAATACTGTCTGAATGCGGTTGAATGATTGATAGATATTGCCAAGTCACTCCCAATATCCTACTTGCAAGGGCTAAGGGATATAGACTTACATTCAAGACTGACTTACTAATAAGTGTATCAATACAACAACACCGCTAGGAATATTTGGGGTGACAAGTAACAGAATGGTGAATGTTCGGATGAAGGCCAAACAGTGAATGCGCCATGAAGGCAACAGTTTCTTCAGCTATATAAGCAATCATTTCTCTCTCTCTCTCTCTCTCTCCCTCTCTCCTGTCCCGTTCTCTATTTCTTCAACCCACCCCTTTCCTTGCTCACCACTTTACTGATCCTTGGAGTTGTGCCTTCTAAGATCATCAGTCTTATCTACCCCTCTTCCCTTACTCCCAGGAAACCGGTACCACCTTACTTTAAATCTCTTGCTCCTACCTACTGCCCATCATCTCCCAAACACACTGTTTCATCAACACGATACTGATATTCCAACTCAAGTCACCTCAGTTCTGTCACTTCTACTTCCTTTCGTATCTATTTTGTTCTTGCTCGTTGTCGAACTCCTCCTAACCATATTAAACGTTACAAAGACAACACGGAATCCGGCAAACCCCTTCATAACAGGAACGAGACGAAGGTGAGAGTCGCTCTTAACCCTGCTTTCTACCCCCCGGCCCCCTCGGCACCGTGTTCCTTTCCAGGATCGAGACCCTGACCTTTGCATTTGCTTAGTCTTCTCCCTGCAATATGTGCAAGAGAACCAGAAAGTACATCAGAACCGAGAACAAAGAGCCCCAGATCAAAGAGAAATTAGATGACATCATGGCTCTGACCTGCCAACGATCTCCTTGGGTAAAAGGTCTGAAATTCGAGAACACAAGCTTCACCGATATCCCGACCGTGATTGAGTATCTAGAAAAAGCCCGAATCGAGCGATCGCGAGAAGAGTTTACCCAGCTCGTCGACCTGGTGGCAGGAAGAATCCCGGCCAAGTCGAACGGCAAAGACCCACACTACGAGCATGTTCTTAGCAAGTTTCTGGCCTATCTCGAGACCGTGCGACCAGACTTCAATACTTTTAAAAATACTACAACATATGATACAAAATGGGGGGCTCTTCTCGACGCCCGCTGGAGGATAGAAAAACATCAGGAAACCGTACGCGAGGTCGAGACTCAGCTGCGCGGCTGGGGCGAAAGGGGCCAGCGCCTGTTGCACATGTATGCATATTTCACCCGTTTTTGGGCCGACAGCCTCAGAAAGATATTCATTGATAATTACTCATACGAGGAGTGCGTCATCCGTCTGAACCGCGCAGTCCTCGGCCGTCAGACCAAAATCGATGGGAGGCGATTATCCGCCGAGCGAGAGTCGTGCCTCATGATGTCTATTTCGTTGATAGGTGCGGCGAGAACCCGGCGCCCGTCACTACGCAGGATCTCGAAGACTTTGACTTGATCATCAATGATCTGGGGCTCGTCAAGCCGCGGCCCCAGTCTCGGAATGCCCAGCTGGCTGCTGCTCAAGATGGCGAAGACCAGTCGGCGCACCATGTCTCTCGCAGGGCTGAGGTCGATGACGATGATCATAATGAGCGTGGCCATCGCTCGCGCAAGCGGCGTCGACTTTAGAGACTAACGTGGGTATTATCGGCAGATGTGACCTCTTGTGTTTTGTTGGTGCGTTCTGTGGGTTCGTGGCTAGGACCGATCAATGGTGTTGTGTTGGCCCAGGTAGATTGTCACTGTTTTATGGAGATATCATGTTTTTTTTTTTTACTTCTCCATCTGTCGGGAACTACTTAAAGATTATGATCAAGTTGCTTGAAATACGAGTCTATATTCATAAGCGCTAGGGTCGTTACTTTCAAGTCTACCATAAGTCCTGCCAGGTTTGTACCAAAAGAACTACCACCGAAGGTTTCAGTATCATCCCCACTTCCCGTACTGCAGCCTGTCATTCAAACGTGATATATGGTATTTCCAGCGACGTCTATGTACTTGACCAACCACTATGCTTTTTCGCAGCTCTAACTCAGTAGCTCATAAGTCTCATCAGACACCCCCCAACCACATCCTAATGGGCTTTGGTTGCATAGGGACTTCTGTCCCGCAAGTACTGCCCATACAGACCCAACAGCATCGCCGCCGGGAGCCCAATCCCTAACCCAATGAAGCCTAGCAGACTCCCCGACCACCCATATCCCAACGTAGAGTACCTATGAAGATATCAGCGGTAGCTCAATATAGACAGTCGTCGACCCGCAAGAAGACTCACATGTAAGGCGCAAACATCGGAAAGGTAAAGCCCGCAATACACCGAATCGTCGACACGGCTGCCAACCCGCTGGCCGCATACCGGCCATACGTATCAATCACATACGCATTCACGGAGATGGTGCACGCCAGCGCCCCGGCCACGAAGATGGAGGTGCCGATGTTGGGCATGATCCAGTGCAGCTTCTTCTCGGCGGACCAGCCGTACCAGAACATGCCGGCGCTGAGGAACAGGGTGGCGGGGAGCATGATGGGGATGCGGAACTCCGGGAGGCCCTTGCCCCCGTTGCGCCGGGTCAGAGTGCGGTAGATGCGGTCGTTGACCAGGGTGCAGCACTCGGCCGCCAGGGCTGACCCCACGGCGATGGAGATGTAGTTCAGCCCCGCGATCTCGGTGCGTTCGCCGTACACCTCCGTCCACAGGTCCACAAAGTCCGCGTACAGGATATAGATGTTGCCGTACAGGTACGCGTTGTACAGCGCCAGCACCTGGATGATGGGCTGCGTGGCCAGGAGCTTGAACGGCCGGATCAGGTTGGTCGACAGCTTCTTTAGCCGCCCTGCGTCGAGGTAGTCGTAGTCCGTGTACAGGTTCGTCGCCCCCGTGGTTTTGATCAGTTGGGCCTTCTTGCGCCGGAGGAGGAGTGGCGGGTAGGTCTCTTCCAGGAAGATTAGGCCCGACAGTTGGATGGCCACGCTGAGCAGCGAGGAGGCGTAGAAGGTCCACTGCCAGCCGGTGTTCTGCGAGATGAAGCCGCCGATGACGGCCCCAACCAGTGGCGCGAGGATCGGCGACCAGCTGTAGATTGCGACGGCTTTGCCGCGGTCTTTCGCATAGAAGAGGTCGCTGAGCGTGCCGCCTCCGATCTGGGAGACTGTCAGTCATAATTGCTAAGTTTGGAGGGGAGAAGGGCTAGGTTAGTCACATACCCCGAGGGTAGCGCTTCCGCAGAGGCCGGCGACAAAGCGCAAGACGATGATGGCTTCCTTGGTGCGTGCGCCCCCGCACGCGGCGTTGAAGACGATGTACATGAAGTTCCAGGACTGGACTACTCGCACCCGGCCATAGATCTCGGACAGTGGACTGGCGACGAGGGGACCGCACGCGAAACCCAGGAGGAAGATGGAGAGCACCATTTGCTCGACCGCCGGCTGGGTGATGTTCAGGTCGGATGCAATGGCCGGCAGCGCTGGAGCGACAATGGTCGACGACAGAGGACTCATGAAGACGAAGGAGCTCATGGCAAAGATCGCCTTCCATTTGCGCATCGGACTCCAGTTCTTGGGGTTTTCAGGGTCGTCCTCGCCTTCCCAGGTCACCTTGTGGTTGTCATGGTGAGCGGGTGTCCAGCGCGATTGGCGCAATTTGGGGACAAAACTCACTAGAACTCTATCGGAATCGACGGTGCCATTCTCTAGGTCGCTTTCTTTTGCCACCTTCTCCGATGGCTTTTCTGGTGGTGGTGAGGCTATGGGTGGTGTTTGATTCGCATCTTCGTGTTCCTTGATGGTGTTCAAGCGCTGGAGTAATTTTCGGATGTTCATGGCTGATAGTATGTCCCCATTAGACTCAATGCGAGTGCAGGCTAGTCGAGAGGATTCAAATATCAGAATAAAATAAACTCGAGACGGTGGATATGAACTAATATGCACCCAAGCAGTAGGAGTGCCAAGTCAGTAGTGGAGATGCTGGTGAGCCCGAGTACTCCGATACAAGTCCGATACACATTGTCGATTACCCTGCAACTCCGGTCTATCACGGACAACATTTTATGTTTGACAGTGGGGTGGAGAAGAACTGGGCTTTCTTGTTACGTTCTTCTTTCCATCTCGACTATCTGAATTATCTTCCCGAATTTGCAAGGCTTGGGGGGATGATTCCCTGGTGGTATACATTGTTGGCAGACTGATGTCACGTGACTAATCGTACAATTGTTTCTGTCTGTCGCGATCGCCTCTTTCTTCTTCTTCTCTTCCTCCCACAAACCCCCCTCCCATATGGCCGGAGAGCCAAACAAACCATCCATTCCGGAGTTTCTGGCCATGTCTACGCTAAGTCGCCGGCGTAATCGCTCGCTGGCCTCGTGTGAGCCATGTCGAAAAAGCAAGATCCGGTGTGATCACGGCAAACCCACCTGTGCTTCCTGCCAGCGCCGTGGGCTCCACCCGCAATGCTGGTATCATCCTGCCCCTCTGACCAAGCATCGGACTTCGCAAAGACACTCTTTGTCCACGCCACCGGGCTCACTCCGCGTCGCCCAGACTGGCCCACCGCCGCATCATCCGGTCGAGAGTCCCTTGGCCGAGACCCCAAAGTTCCACACTTGGCCGTTCATGTCCGCCGATCCCACTGACTCGTCATCGCTCGCCCTCACCCCGGGTCGCCACCACTACAATCTCAAGGCCCACGACGAGCACTTGGTGGCCATCCAACGCATTGTCGCCCAGCTGAAGCTCTTACCCGTCATAGAAAGACAGTTGCATGAATATTACTCATTCAGCCTAGTCGCACTAGTCCCTCAGCCGCTGCTCTTGCAGCTCATCGCTTCGATTCGAGCTGGTATTGCAGCCTCGGGCTATAATCAGGACAGCTTAGATGCAGAGCTTGAGACTCACTGCGTTTTCAAATTAGCTGAAGACATTCTACGGGCCTCCTCGGTGGAAGTGGTCATCACCCGCGACTTGGATCTGCCGGCGTTCTGTGCCTTGTTCTGTGGGCCCAATCTACGCATAGAGACCCTTGGCCTCCTGTATACGATGGCCGCACGCGCAACTATGTTTGCTGTAGGGGACGGACACGACGAAGACCGTGACAATGCTTTCGTTCGTGATATGGGCTGGTACGGCAACTTGAGCCTGCGACTGGCCCGTGAGCTGGCACCGCAAACGACTGATCTTATTACATGGCTTGCGCACGAGAACCTGCAACTAACCACGATCTTCGAAGGCGATGCAAGTAAGTGGGATTGCCACAGACTCGGCGGGCGCATCTAACAGTGTTGTAGGCTTAGGTGTATGGAGACGCTTGGGCGATCTCGCCACAGACATCCTAGCCTTAGGCCTGAACCGAGAAGCAACCCACGCCACGACGCCATTCTTCCTGGCGGAATGTCGACGAAGAACCTTCGCTAGAGCGTATTACCTGGACAAAGTGTTTGCGTCGGTCTTCATGCGGCCGCCGCGTATAACTGCTCGACATGCAGACTGCAGCCTTCCATTAGACCTATCTGATGAGGAACTTTTCGCATCGTCAGATGTGATAGAGCAAGCAAAGCACAACCTGACACTGGATGGCTGGAACACCGACGGAAAGCATCGAGTAGCTACGTGGGCTCGGATACGCTACATTCTTGCGGAGTTCCGCGAGGAGACCGTTGAATATCAGTTTCGAGTCACGCATGCCGCCGATTCTGTGAAACTTCGGTATGTATTGGCTTACCTGCTGTTGTTGAAGCCGCTCGCTCACCAGCCGCAGAGAGTTATCCGATCGCTGTACTCAGGCATGGAATCGGCTGCCCCCACACCTCCAGTACAGGCAGGACTGCTGGACGTCAAACCTCCCTCCAGAACTTTGCCACATGCATGCCAAAGTCTTCCTCTCTTATCTGCACATTCACTTCCAGATTTACAGACTCCTTGGGGATGCAGAAGGTCTTACGACCCCTCAACCAGAACTGCTTGAGGTCTCAGCCAGTATGCTTGAGACCGTGATCCAGATGACGAATAGTCGCGGGAGAACCTCTTTCTCGCCGCGCGATCTGCCTGGGATTGTATGCTCCCCTGACTGATATTCCACTGCATTAGTAGACCTCGCCATTGACCGGCACTAGGTTCTCTCTTATGGGTTGCCATGTGCTGCCATTCTCTCTACCGCTCTTGAGAACGTGATGCAAGATGCATCAGCAGGAACACGGCTCCCTGCAGGCATCAAGACCTCGAATCTCATCCGTCATCTTTCGGTTCTGGTGTCTCAACTTGAAAGCGTGTCCAACCCCAACGAGACCAACTACGTATTCTGTCTCAAAGCATCGAGAGCGATTTCTCGCAAGCTCGACGGGATTCTAGACAGTTTTACAGTTGTCAATCCCACGAAAACCCCTGCCCCTGGCTCAGTCCCCGAGCCAGTTCCGACGCCCCCACAAATAGACAGCACAGCCCCTATCACGGTGGGTGAAATTGATACGAGCTCCTTGATTGATCTCGAAAACTTTAATTTCACAGACTGGGCTATCAACTTCGACATAGGCATGAGTGATGAGTTAAGGATGTTTTGACGGCCTCTGAACACTAAACTGGAAGACTTAATTCAACGTTACAGACATTACGAAATCAGGCCAATGTACCACAATGAACACGGGGAGCTTTCAACTTTGCTTTTCTCGCCCCTCATCACTTTTGCAGATAATCCCGCTTACCCTTCAGAATCTCCGCGAAAAGATTCGCCAAAGCCTCCAAGGCACGATCACAGATTTGGTAATGGATGATCAGCCGGCCCTGCAAACGACCACGCATGGTCTTGACGCCTGCATTCTCTGCCAGATCCGCAAAATGTTCCTTGTCAATTCCCGCGGCCTCCAAATCCAACCATATCATGTTGGTTTCTGTCGGATGCTGGAGCTTCCCGCCCAGACTCACCCACAGCTTGGAGAGTCTCTTCGCAGTTTCTTGGTTCGCACGCAAGCGTCCACCAAGGAAGATCTGCTCCACCGCCACCCGGGCTGGGGCGCACACAATGCCGGCCGCGCGGATGCCTCCACCCAGCAACTTGCGCATCCAGCGGGCGCGCTTGATGAAGGCCTTGTTGCCGATGACTATTGATCCAATGGGGGCACCGAGACCCTTGGTGAAGCACAGCTGCGCGCTGTCGAAGCAGGTGGCGTACTCTTTGAGGGTGCCGGCGCCGGCCGCCACGGCCTCCCACAACCGCGCCCCGTCGAGGTGCATGTGGATGGGCGGGTCCTGACTCCGGGCCCAGTTGGATATTGCACGCACGTCCTCTAGAGGCATGATGGTTCCGGACAGCGTATTTTCCAGACTGATGATCCGCGTGGGGCAGTCGTAGACGTCCTCACGGAGCGTAACGTGCCGCTTGACGTCCTCCAGCGTGAGGTGATGTCCGTTGGATGGAGCGACGCCTTGCATCAAAGCTCCGCACAGCGTCGACGGGCCGCCGGCCTCCATGCCAATGATGTGGCTGCGACTGTCGGCGAGGATACTGTAGGGTGGGGCCAGCAGTGCGGTTCGGAGCGCCACCTGGTTGCCCATGGTTCCCGACATGACCAGGAGTGAGTCTTCATGGCCCGTCAGTTGGGCTATGAACTCCTGGAAAGAGTTGGTGGTCGGGTCCTCCTTCATGACATCGTCTAGCAAGCTTGTGTTGATGATCGATGCCAGCATGGCGATGTTGGGAGAAGTAACATAATCGGAGCGGAAGTCATAGGCGGCCTGACCAGGAGAGTCCCACGCGGTTTGCTGGTTTGCGGACAAGGGATCTCTGGCAAAGAAGGCCGTCTGATCCTCCCATGTCTCCTCGCGGGGATCTTTGTAAGTGGAAGGGGGCTGCACGGCTCCCTCACGGAAAGATGATACAATGGAAGACATTTCATAAAATTGAAAACGAGAGATGATGAAGATGCTTTCTTTCTTTGGGGCTTTACTTGCGTTTCTCCAACCCTTCTTATACCTTCTCTGCTTTTGTTTGAGCCTCACACCAAATCCCGAAACTGAATCTTCTCATCGCCGACCCCGCGCTGCACACTGATACTCTCCGGCTTCGCGACTTCGATTTTCAATCACTTTGACAAATAGATTGACGTGCGAGAATCCTGCGATGACTATTGTCTTGGCCCGTGATGTTCTAGCCACCGGTGAGTCGACCGGAGGAGAACCGACGAGGTTGATCATCGCGACACTCCTGCAGTGAGATGGATACGCTCCCGTCCAGTAGAATATTACAGGCGATGGCGTGCCCCTCCTTTAGCACCCAATTTGTGGCTCCCTCCGAGCCCTCACATCCTCGGGCAACACTCGGACGTCTTGATCGACAGGCTCACACATATCCCGCGCGGCGACTTTCGTGGCTATGTTTCACCATGCTGCCATAACGAGCGGAGCGCGGCCCGATGCGGCAAATAACGGTGCCGTCTACGTCTGCAGTCATCTTATGACTGGTAATCTAGATCCGTGCATGGAGCTCTAGCGAGAGCGGCTGGAACCGCCGGCGGGACGGTGGAGGTATCTTGGACGTCACGACCAAGGTTGGCGCCGCACTTGGCAGGGCTACCAAGCAATGTCAAGCTTACGGGGGATTAGCTTGTCTCGGTGGGCCTATGAGGTGTCCTAATCTTGGCACAGAGTGATATAGCTATAGCCCCTGCATGTACGCCCCCTCGCCGTTGCCTATACGAGCTCCGACTTTCGCGTCATGGATGACGATTCTTATCAATCTGTGCAACCGTCGTAGAAGACCTGCGGATCTGAGATAATTCTGCAGGAATGTTGTGTAATTGACGCTCGGACGGGATCTACAGCGGTATTTCCGCGGCGCTCTTTCAGCCTCATGGCACCAGGTGTGGTGACCGTGCTGTGGTTTCAGGGTCTTGATGGATTACTAGTAGCGATACGCTAAGCTGAGACCCTGACGCGGTCCAGGCACGGGTCGTGCGTGGGGAATGCCGTGAGGGGGCCGAAGAGTGGATTCCCTCGCAAATTCCCTGATTCTTCACGCTATACTGTTTCTGAATGTCTTCACAGTGGGTATATTAATGCTCAGAGTAAGTTATAGTCAACATAAGCACTAAGGCCCACTAGTTATGACGATCGTACACGGAGTTGGGTGGTCAGGGCGCAGAATCGGAGTCCGCTCGGACAACCGTATACAGTACGGGATCGGGCGCCATGTGGGGGGGGGCGTTGCAGGTATTGTCATCATGCAGGGTCTAGAGAATCCTTTCTTCATGTCACCATATGTTACCATTTGTCTCAGTAATGGGAATAACGTGATTGTCGCAACGGAGAAGGCTTCCTCCAATGAGGGTGTTGTATTGTGCCATGCCAGCGGCAATGGAGACGTGCTCTACTGTGCCAGGTGCCTTTGCCCTACTTTGATATCAGTTGTACAGTGCGCACATACAGTCCAGTATGTGCATCTCGCTCCGCTCATTGTGGCCTATATAACATCCACTGAACTGCACAATTTCAACACCATACACCACACACCACCTTTCCTTCGATCAAGCAAATTCCCCAACTCCATCCTCCACCCCATTCATTCCCTCACCATCGATAAAAATGACCAAAACAACCCCCACCCTCCCCCCTCACCTCCAGGACCTCCTCAGCCACGTCCGCACCCACTCCCCCTACTACCGCGCCCTCTACGCCTCCCTGCCCCCCACCCCGGAGATCCCCACCCTCGCCTCCCTTCCCCTAACCGACCCAACAAGCTACTGGACCACCGCCAGCACGGACGCCACCGCAATCCTCACCGCCCCGCTGACCGATGCCCTGGTCATGCGCAGCGGCGGCTCGACCTCGACCCCGAAAACGGTATACATGACACGCGCCGAGTTCCACGAGACCTCACGCATCCACGGGGCGCTGTTCCCGGGCAGCTGTGCCATCCAGCCGGGGGACCGGATCGCCAACCTCTCGTCGCAGGGGGGCCTGTACTCCGGGTTCATGACGTACGGGTACACGGTGATGAACAGCGCGGTGCCGGTGGTGAACCTGCCGATCAGCGGGAAGGAACCTCCGGCAAGCATCGAGAAGGATGTGAATGCGTTCGCGGCGACTGTCGTGATCAGCAACGTGTTCATCGCGACGAAGCTGGCGACGTTTCTGAAGGCGGCGGGCCGGCGGTTGGAGAGTGTGCGGCTGGTGCTGTACACCGGGGAGCCGTTCTATGCCGATCTGCGGGCCTTGTATGCGGCTGCTTTCCCGAATGCGGTGGTGCGGCCGATGGCGTATGCGAGTGTTGAGTGTAAGGTTGTCGGGTTCCCTGTTCCGGGACTCAATGAGGGCGGGGACGGGGATGTGGATCCGGTGTATCGCGTGGTCGAGGAGGCGGTGGTGCTGGAGATCGTGGGCGATGACGGGCATCCGGTGCGGGAGAACGGGGTGCGCGGGACGCTGGTGGTCACGAATCTGCTGAAGCGGTTGCAGCCTACGATCCGGTATCCGGTTGGGGATGTGGGCGAGTGGGTGGATTTCGAGCAGGGGCTGTTCCGGCTGCGCGGCCGGAGTGATGTTGGGGTTAAGGTGGGCACGGCGCTGTTGGATCGCGCGGTGTTGAGGCGAGTGGTGAGTGAGGTTCTGGGGGAGGGCGTGGCGGACAGTTTCCAGACGGTGCTGCGGCGGGAGAAGGGGAGGAATGTGGTGGTGTTTAGGGTTGCAGCGGAGAGGCCGGAGGATGGGGTTGGGGAGAGTATCGCGGCGAGGTTGGAGGAGGCAGTGGCACAAGTGAGTTCGAGCTGGTCCAAGAATCGCGAGGCCGGCCATGTGGCGCCTGTGCAGGTGGAGTGGGTGCGGTTTGGGGAGTTGGTGTTCTTGGAGGCGAGTGGGAAGTTGAGGGAGGTGGTCGATGAGCGGTATTAGCATGTCCGGGTTGCGTTCTACTGGGTAGTTGAAAAGAAAGGGGGGCCCGGGGGTTCTCCCCCGGAGATGTTTATACTGTAGAACTTAGGGTTGAGTTCTGCCAGGGAGCTGAAAAAGAAGGGGGGTCCGGGGGTTCTCCCCCGGGAAGCCTTGTACTTTAGACTTAGGGTTGAGTTCTACAAGCCAGCATATAGATATGGTGCACCAAGTACAGTCCCTACTGTACACTTCAAAGGACGAGAAGGAAGAGCATCTAGACACTTACACCCACCCTCCCCTCAAATCTCCCTCCTCCATTCTCCTCCTCGTCTTCCTCGTCTTCCTCCTCTTCTTCCCCCCCCACTCCCTCCTCACAACTCCCCTCCCACCCCCCCGCAAGCGCAACCGACTCGGATGCCACACCAGCAAAAGCAGCATCACCAACGCCATAACCCCCCCATCAAACACATACAACCACACCTCCCGTCTTTGGAGGACCCCATCCCGCCCCATCGCAAACTCGACCACCCGAAACACGGACCTTCCTAGGATGAGAGCGTTGGTCAGGTACAGCACCCACAGAAACCCGCTCCAAGGCACGCGGGTCCTGCGCGCGCGTCGCGTGGGATGGCTCCTCATGCGCCGGTGGAAAATTGCGGAGACGAGGATGAAAGCAGCGAAGAAGACGATCTGGATGGCCAGGCCGGTGATGACGATCCAGTTGGCCGTTTTGGTGGTGGTTGAGGAATTGGACTTGGCGAGGAGGCCTCCGCCTATATTATGTAGTCATCAGCATTGGAGTGCGATCACTGTGATTTAGAGACTTGTCTGCGAGCAATCGGCGGATGGTGGATAGGAAAGGGGAGAGCTCACCCCCCGCCTGCGCCAGGAACGCAAGCACATCGCCGACGACAAACACGCGGGTGATCCAGTGGGCGGGCAGCACGGAGCGGGTGTCTCCGTCGGTGAGGCGGATGATACGCGCCAGGATCATGTAGATGGAGGCGGCGAAGAGGGAGGGGGCGACGAGCAGCAGCAGGGACTGCATTATGTATGGGGCTGTGGTCCAGTTCGGGGTCTGGGTGCTGTTGATGATGCGGCCGGTGTAGCCGGTTGTTTCGACTGGGTTGGTGTTAGTGCGCTGGTTGAGGAGGAGCTGGTAGGGACTAATGCTACGTACAGATCCCCCCGATGATGAACGGGGTGAAGAACCAGGTGCGCTGGGCGCAGTAGTGGATGGCATGGCTAATGGTGAGGAGGCCGAAGCAGACGGTCGCTGCAATCGCGGCGGGGAGCGAGGGGGCATACTGGTAGAGGAGGTAGGTGGGCATGCTTGAGAGAGAAGGTGTGGGGTGGTGGTGATATGCTTATGGATGCGTATGTATGCTTATATAGGTATGGATGTATGTTCTTGAGTGTTCTTGAATGGCTGGGATGATGTCGTATTCGGTCTCGTACTCGTTTCGATACCTGCTTTGGGTGCCGATTGGCTTCCAACTGAAGTCATCGCTAGTTTATAGGCTTAGTCTGCGTATATGCAGGTCGATCAATCAAGCACGCTGTTGGACCTAGTCTATGTCATGCACAATCACTATCTCTCCCGCCGCTCCCACCGTAAGCACACCTTCTCCGGCTGGGGAATATGCAGAGTCAAACTCATTGTGCTCTGCTGCACCCGCGCATATGCCCGCTGCCGGGCCTCCTCGACTGTCTCCCCGGGGTCAGGCACAATATCGACTGTGTGCTTTCGGAACAGCTGGAGCAGCACCGCCAGGATCTCGATCTGGGAGAACCGTTTGCCAGGACAGACCCTGGGCCCCTCCGACCAAGCGATGAGCTTCCGCCCCATCTCCGCGTTGTAAACATCCTCCCCGGGGTGTCCGGTTGACGACGCAAGCACCCACCGCGACGGCCTCCACTCCGCCGCATCACGTCCCCAAGTCCCAGGGTCCATGTGCAGCGCTACACTATTGACCCGGATGGAGGTCTGTCCGGGAATGAGAAACGGTGTCTCCGTCTTGACCATTCCGTCCTGCTCGCGCGTCTCGCGCAGCACATTCACCACGGGGCCATACAGCCGGAGCGTCTCCATCTGCCCCAATCAGTTAGCCATCATCACCACCACCACCACCAGGAAACGCAGGAAACGCAAGGAAAAAACCCACCATAACAGCCCTCAACCTCTTCAACCCCTCCAACACCTCAAACCCAGGCTCCTCATTCCCTGCCCAGCCCTGAAGCAAGGAATCCATCTCCTGCCCGACCCACGCCTGCCACGCCGGAAAGATAGCCAGGAGATACACCGCATACAGCAACGTATTGGCGGTGGTCTCATGCCCCGCAAACAGAAACAGAAACACATTGCCCCGCATCTCGTCCCCGGACAGATAATCCCGGTTGCCGGGGCCAGGACGGCCCTCGCACCGCAGCAATGTCGAGAGTAGATCCCCCCGTTTTAGGGCTCCATCCGGATCCCGTCGCCTGCATTCCACCAGCTGCGCTATGCTGCCCCGTAGCTCGCGTGCGCCCGCCCACAGATCCCGCACGCCGTGTGCCCGGCGCCAGGGGAGGAGGCTCCCCGTCGGGGCGGTGAGAATGTCCAGGAAGCGGAGGAGGGTGGGTTTGCACGCCTGCGGGCTGAAGGTCGGGTCTGATGGGGTGGAGGTGGGGAGACAGACTCTGAGGAGGATGTCGAGACTGGCGTCAGCCAGGTCGGGGAATGTGCTGGTGGTTGTACCGGGCCGGGAGGCGACCAGCTGCGCCGCGCGGGCCAGGGAGGCGGTCCAGACGATCTGGTCGGTGGACGCTGTAAATGCGCTGGCCGTGATGCGGCGGTGGCGCTGCCAGGTTGTGTCTTCGACCTAGATGCGTCGATTGTCTGGTTAACCATCGAAACTACCGGATGGGACAAAGTCAGGGGATACCGAAGCAAGATGCGGTCCGAAGAGCTCTAACTTATCTATGTTCTCCCATCAGTCATTTCTCTCTCATGCCTGTAGGGATTGTGGCAGTACCAAGCAGCCCTAAAGGCTTGGGGAACGTCCTCCGACGCAGGAGGATCTGCTCTGCAACGCTCCGATCCGCGGTGATGAATTCGCGACCCCCCGGCGTCACCAGGAAGAAGGACGGGCCGTAGCGCGCGTGCAGGGCGAACTTGTCGCGGAAATTCCAGGAGTGATGTCTGAAGCGGTTGCGTTGGAAGAACAAGGCGAGGCGGGAGTTGTGATCGATGAGGCTGAGTAGACCCTGCAGTGGGTGGGGGAGGGAAACCGCGACGATGAGGACGGGCAGTGGGCTTCTGCGGAGGGGCCGGTAGTGACGGTAGACTTGAGTCAGGGTGTAGCTGGTTGACAGCGCGAGCACAATGCACAGGATGGCGAGAATAAACATGGTCGGACGGATGTCCTGAGCATATAGAGAGGCCTTCACATGGGGAGGGTGGTGGGAGAAGGAGTAGCAGTAGCAGTAGCAGTAGCAGTAGAGGGCGAAGTAGGAAATTGGAGCCGAGGTGTGTAGTGTAGTGCAGTGCAGTGGGGTGAAGGCATTCACGGAGAATGGCATATCCAGTACATGATGAACTGCACACGAGGTATACTGCATGGTATACGGAGTCGAAGGCAAGAAAAAGGGAGAAAGTAGGGCTCCACTTCGTATCCGTACTCATGCCCACTTGAAGCTTAGTCCGGCTTCATCTCCACCTCCCCACCTCGCATGCGTATTCTTTGCCTGTTCGGGGTCTTGTTCCGTGGGTCATCAATGCAATTTGAATTCTATTGCTGCTATTGCTGCCATTGAATGTCTAGTCGAATCCCTCACACAAACCAAAACTACAGCGCCGGAGTCACATCCTTGAACCGCAACCCATTCCCCACCGCCGCCACCCGCGACTTGCCCAGCAGCCCATTGATCTCACTCGGGTGGACCACAATGAGGATGCACAGCACCAAAAACATCGGCACCGCGTCGAAGACATAGATAAACGCCTCGTGCGTGATCACGTACCCCTGCTGGCCCTGCACGTACTCGATAAACCGCACGATCGACCGGATCAGGATCAAAAAGCTCATCGCGTACAGCGAGAAGAAGTGCTTGCGCCACGGGATCTGCGGCGACTCCGACCGCACCGTGGGGTGGCGGTAGATGCGCCGCTGGAAGAGGACCGCCACGACGATGAAGAAGCAGAAGAAGAGGATCTGCACGATCAGGCCCCCGATGATCACGTTCTCGCCGGTGTGGTCCGTCGCGGAGGAGGCTTTGACCATCAGGCCCGCGCCTGTTGTCCGTTAGGGTAGTGTTCAGGCTGGGGGAAGAGGATCGTACCGGAGGCTTGCATCAGGAAGGAGAGAATGTCGCCCACCACGAAGATCTTGGTCAGGAACTTCAGCCGGATGATGGAGTGGTGCTCGCCGCGGACCAGGAGGATAATGCGCCCGAGGATCATGTAGATGGTGGCGGCGAAGAGGGCGGGGGCGACCAGCAGCAGGGTGCTTTGGATGATGTAGGGCCCGAGGGTCCAGTCTGGGGACTGATGGGCGGACAGGGCGCGGCCGCAGTATCCGACGACTTCGACTGTGAGCAGAAGCAGCGTTAGTATTGTACATTCACAGCAAACGGCGGCGACGTACACAGTGCCCCAATCAAGGCCGCGAGCGTCAACCACGCCCGCGTGCGAATAAGCTGGTAGATGAAGATCAGCGTGGCTATCAGGAACAGCAAGATCATGATGACCGCCCCCGCCATGGAGGGATCATATGCGTACGCCGTCCAGCCTTGCATGGTGATGGATGGGTGGGGTGGTGATGTGGAATGAAATCCGGGTTGGACAGGACCAGACGAGACCGGACGGTCTTGCAGGCCTTTTGTACTGAAGCTAGGGGAGTTTGTGGTGTCGAAAGTCGAGACTGAAGCTGCTGGTCGATCATCGCCCGTATTTCGTAATTCCTGCTCTGTTGGGGGCTAGTGGGTCGAAGGCTGGAACATTGGCATCGTAGGGGCGTCGCAGCTGGGCAACGCAATTGGCAGGGTGTATTTTTAGTTGGAGGTAGCTTCTCCAGAGGGCCCTAAGCCAAGCTCCAGTTCATCCACTGCCTGCATGGACCAGGCCAGCTGCTCAAGCTGCCAAGTGAAATGTAAGAAACATTGTGTACTCGAGGGATCAGCAGAGGGCTGTGTTGGAATCTTGGCAGGAGATGAGCCTTCGAAGCCACGGCACAGATCCACCCTGAGAGAGCATTGAAAAGGGCTAAAAAGCATCAAAACTACCGTAGACTGTTTGGCATGGAACTTGATCCTAGCGTTTGCCTCCATAGCGCCTTGATCCCAGACTGCACGTACCCTAATCACGTGGGCCGAAGGTATATAGACGTGGTCAGACCAGCTCCGAGTATGATTCTGCACAAAAGACAGTGCCCATGACACTCTAATCCAATGTAACACGAGGTAATCAAACACGGTATGGAATAATATCTTCAATTCAGTACGGGACTTTAGCTCTTGATGGGTCTGCGGTTGATTGGATGATTGGATGGGCAGGCTCGTTCTTCTGCCATTGGTTCTCTATCCGAGTTCTCTATCCTAGTCCCAGCAAGATACTTCAAAGGTTGAATCCGGTCAGCTCCTCGAACATCTACATCCCTCCACCACCCGAGCCCTTCAAAACACCTCCCCACTCAGGAGTTCCTCCCTGCTCCCCAAAAAGAACAAAGGAATATGCTCCCGCGGCGCCTTCACGGTGACCACCTCCCCTCCCCCAAACGTCTCATTCGACCACCAATACGTCCAGTTCCCCCTTTCCCCCGTGCTAGGCAAATACACCTCCCACTCCGAGACATTCGGCCTGGTGACCGGACTCACCAGCAGCCGTGGCCCGAACATATACGCCTGGGTCGTGAAATTCGCGTTGGCCGCCACCAAGCCACTCACATTCTGATCCGTGTTCTCAAAATCCATATACAACGGGCGCATGATACTCCGCCCCTCGGTACTAAACCGCGCAAACACGTTCGTCAAGTAGCGCGCCAGCTGATACCGCAGCCGGATGTACCCCGTGATGATCGGGGTATTCTCGTCGCCGTACGACCACGGCTCATTCGCGCAGGTGTACGCGCTCTGCACGCTGCACGCGCGACTGCCATGGGTGCGCATGAACGGCAGGAACGCCGCCCACGCGAACCACCGCACGTACAGCTCCCGAAACTCGGGGGTGTCGATGTCCCCGCTCCAAGCCACCGTCGGGTCCGCCTGGAACCCGCCGGCGTCGACGGTCCACCAGCCCCAGCCGGTGGCGGCGGCCGACAAGCCGGACGCAATCTGCGCCGCCAGCGTGTCCCAGACCGAGGTCGTGTCGCCGGACCAGATGATGCTGCAGAACCGCTGCGAGCCGATGTACCCGCTCCGGCTGAGGGAGATCTGCGGGCAGGGGTCGCCGGGCGCCGTGGCGCTCACGTTGCGGTAGCCCTCGTCGATGGCCTGCTGATGCGCCCACGGGTACAGCTTCCCGACGCTGCACTGGGTCCCCGCGGCGTAGAGCACGTCCGGCAGCGCGTACGGGATAGATTGGATGTACGTGCTTTGGCCGTTGTTCTCGTAGGCTTCGCCGAGGGCGCCGCCGTCGGCTTGGTCGATCCAGAAGTTCTTGATGCCGTGAGTGTAGTAGTTGCGGTGCAGCGTCGACCACAAGAAGTGGCGCGCGAGCGGGTTCGTCGCGTCGTAGTTGCGGATATAGCTGCCGTTCCAGCTGTCCGTCGTGCCGGGGCCGGAGCGCGTCGCTGACAGGAACCCCTGCGCTTGGAGGCTGGCGTAGTTGAGCGAGTTGTCCGCCACGCTGGGCCACAGGCTGGCCATCAGCTCGGCCCCGGTGGTGTTGCGCACCACCGCGGCCATGTGACTGACGTTCGGCCACAGCCGCGGGTCCAGCGCCCAGTCGCCCTGGTGCGCCCACGACTGGTAGTCGATCACGATCAGTGAGACGGGGATGTCGTGCGCCGCGAAGCGGCGCGCCAGCTGCTCGACCTCGCTCTGGTTCTCGTAGCGCAGCTTCGATTGGATGTACCCCAGACTGAAGGCGGGAGGCGTCGGGGCGCGGCCGGTCAGCGCGGACAGGCGGCGCTGGAGGGTGTCGTATTTGGACACGGAAGAGTGGGAGTTGGCAGAAGCGTCGTCGGCAGCGACGATCACGTAGTCGACGAGGGTGGTCGACTCGGCCACGAACTTGGTGCGCAGCGCCCCGAACTCCATGCGGCCCTCGGCGGGCATGTTCCACACGAACGCGTAGCCCTTGTTGCTCATGAACACCGGGGTGGGGATGAAGGTGTTGAAGTTGACCAGGTCGATGACCGAGCCCTTCTTGTTGATGCGGTGGTCTTGCTGCGTGCCCGTGCCGTAGATCTGCTCGTCCGGCGTGGCGCTGAAGCTGAATTCCGCGCGGAACTCCGCCCCGGGGCCCGGCCACGTGTAGGTCCGCGGGTTGAGGGATTTGAGCGGGGCGTACTCGTTGGTGAGGAGGGTCTCGCTGCCGTCGGCGTTGAGACGCGAGAACGACAGGCGGTAGCCCCCCTCATTGCCGCCCCAGCCGGTCGTGCGCAGGAGGAGGTTGCCGTTGCGGAGGGTTCGGGGCGTTTCGCCGGTAGAGGTCTGGTCGTAGCTCATGCCGTGGGCGGTGCCGTTCTCGAAGCCCTCCAGGGGTGGGTCGTAGATGAAGCTGATCTCTTGGCCGGTGGGGGGGCGAAAGGGCCAGGCGCGCACGCGGAAGCCATCGTAGCCGTAGGGCTGGATGAGGAGGGTCTCGAAGCCGTGTTGCAGGCGCAGGCCGCTGGAGTTAGGGTGGAAGTAGTCGGCCAAGCAGTGGCCGACCACGAGGAGAGCGATGAGGAGGTACATGCTGTTGGATGTACGGGTCCTTGTGTACAGGGGGAGCTGTACATGACTGCAGCGTATTTAAGCACGCTGGGTTCATTTAGCCGATTAGCCTAAGACAGGAGGCATTCATCGTACGACGAGCAGAATCAAGGAGCAGATGCGGGCTCTGGTGCTAGCGGGAGGGGTAGTGTCGATCAGTGTCGATCCAGCAAGGGTCCTGAGGAGGTCGGAGTTTGAGCGAGACCGAGGCGATTGCAGACAGCCGAGCACACTGGCACGATGAGGTTGTTGCGTATAGGGCTTGCCTGTCAGGTGACTCCCGGAGCATTGCTGGATCGCAGCGCATCAGCATTCCGAATGTGCTTCATGTCTCTCTGTGAAATGCTCTGATATAGCAGCTGATGGTTTTTTTTTGACATGGCCTCCGCCGGGATTTCACTCTTTCTTCTCGGTGGGCCTGTCGGGATGTTCCGTCCGTATGCAGCCTGACGTGGCCGTGCAGCTCAGTTCGAGCCGACGGTTCCGGATGTGCAGCAGGCCGACCTGCCAAGCCCGGACAAAAGTGGCTGAGTGGCAGCTTCTTTGGTCTTAGAGGCGTTACTACGGAGTACCGACAAGACTAGCCCATGGTCTGGAGGAAGAAGATTAGCATCTTACTGAGATTTATCTTACAGGCGATGTGCCTGACACTAGAGGCACTAACGCTAGGCACTAGAGGCCCTGACAAGCCATAGCTCATTCCTACAGATTGAGTCCAATCAGTGGACCTTTCTCTATGCACGAGAAGTAAGGATATTAACCTTAGAGGTATGAATATACAGTCCCCCTCGAGAGCCGTGTCTTGTTGATGTCTTGTTGATGTGACACCACAAATTGGCCGGACCGGAGCCAAAACAAATGGCCGGGTGCGGGGACCCCTTGACTTACACAATCTGATTGGCTCCCTCGCCGGTCGTACGTCACAACCTCCACTGCAACCTTCATTGAAGACTCACTGACACAATATCAAAAAGAACATCCCAACCAGAAGTTCCCAATTGACTCACCATCCCAAACCATTCACCCGCCCCCTACCCCGGGAAACCGTTCTCCCGGGACCTGTCTTATAAGCCTTCCCCGCAAGCAACCCCCAGTATCACCCACCCCGCATCCACATCCCACCTCTCCCACACACACAAACAGCACCACCACCATGACCCAGACCACCCCCTCAAACCCCCTCGGCATCGCCACGCTCAGCCTAGGTAGCGCAGCGCACCACACCCTTGAAACCAGGCTACACGCCGCCGCCGCCGCCGGGTACACGCACATCGACCTGTTCGACGACGACTGGGCGGCCTACCTGAGCGCGCACCACTCCCCGGCCGACGCCCCGCCACCGACCCCCTGGACCTCCACGCCGGAAACCCTGCGCATCGCGACGCAACTCGGCTCTCTCGCGAGATCCCTCTCCCTCCAGATCGCCTGCACGCAACCCTGCCGGCAGATCGAGGGGATCCTCGACCCCGCCGCGCGGCGCGCCGCCCTCGACGCCGTGGCCGCACGGTTCCCATTCATGCGGGCCTTCGGGACGGATCTCGTGTTCATGTGCGCCAACATCCGGACGGACTCGGGCGTCACCGCCGACCTGGCCACGGTGGCGCAGGACCTCGCCGAGCTGGGCGATAGGGCGCGCGCGTTCGCCGAGGCCGACGGGGGCCCGATGCTCCGGATCGGGTACGAGGGGCTCAGCTGGGCGCGCCGGAATACCTGGGCATCGTCGTGGGAGGCGGTGCGGGCGGCGGACCGCGCGAATGTGGGCTTGGTCGTGGACGCGTTCAATGTGTTAGCCGTCGAGTGGGCGGATCCCTATGCGGAGGATGGGTCGGGCAGGGTCCATGGTGATTTGAAGGTGGCGCGGGAGGTGTTGCGGACGTCGATGCGGGATTTGGTAAGGACCGTGCCGGCGGAGAAGATCTTTTTCTTTCAGGTCGGTGATGCGGTGAAGGTTGGGCTGGAGGAGGTGAGGGCTTGGGATGTTCGCGGCGATACGCCGCGGCTGTTGCCCTGGTCCAGGGGGTATCGCTTGTTCCCGGGGGAGAAGGACCGGGGGGCGTATTTGCCGGTCGAGGTGGTCGCTGCTGCTGTGTTGGAGACGGGATATGCGGGGCCGGTGTCGTTGGAGGTGTTTAATCACTCGTTGAGTGAGCAGGATGCATCGGTGCCCACGGTGCATGCGGAGCGGGGGATGAAGGGGCTGCGATGGTTGTTGGAGGAGGTCGCCAATGTGCCGACATTTGGGGATGCGACTCGATAGTGGGGGGGTGATGTTTAGGAAAGGTGGTTATGCGAAACTGTATCGTGATATTGTACTGGATGAGATATTGAGTGAAGAATCAAGTCAGACTTTGGTCTCCTCTGTTCAATGTGCTCGACATCATACCACCTAGGGAAGAAACACTTGGCTGAAGAAGAGACGGGCTCAGTGCATATATTAGAGTATCATCAAGATCAAAGTAGCGAGGATCCTCAACAACAGCAACGTTGAGTATCATGAGTACAACATCGAAGCAGCAACCAACCAGCCCAGTTTATCTACCGCGTCACGCCAGATTATCGTCCTCCCACCCAACGCCAGAAATGCAACGCCAATAAAGAAAGCAACCACCCACTCAGCAATCATCCTCCTCCACCACCACCAGCCGCTTCTGCTCCGAGCACTGCTCTCCCTGCGGCGACGACGGCGATCCATACTCCTCGCTGCTAGCCCTCCGATATGTCACAATAGCAATGTAGTCGTGCAATGTCCCCAACAGCTGCAACATCACCGCCGTCCAGATCATCCCCTGGAACGTGTTGCCCCCGACCGCCGAGATCCCCTTCTCGCTGCCGGTTTCACTGATCAGATCCACAAACTCCTTGGCGATGACACTGGCGATGGTCGCCGCAACGCCGAAGCTGAAAACACTGGTCTGCTCGTCATTAGACTTCGTCCTACATGAGCCTCAATCGAAGACAGGGGCTCACCAGGAAAGCATAGAACTCCACACTAGTCGGGGGCGTCTCCAGCTCCGTCCCCGTGCCGGGGTAGCGTGGAGGCTGGGAGGCGTAATCCGGGCGCGAGGCACGGGCGGACGCAATCGTCCAGATACGGAGGGCAATGGCAACAATTGCAGCCACAGTCCCGAAGATCAGGAACAGCACCATCGTAGTGTTAGTGGGCTTCAAGGCGTGGAAGTCATCGGTGATACAGGAAGGCCAACTGCCGGGCTGGAGGCCGGTCGGCGGGTTGCCCAGCGCTTGCTGGATGGCGTCGCCCGGGTTGAACTCGAACAGGACACTGCGGTCCGAGCACTCGGTGATGCGGTCCTGGATGGTCGTGGTGTTGGTCTTCTCGTCGATCACGCAGGTTTCCTGGTAGCCGACGCAGTACGACATGGGGTAGATAGTGAAGAAGTCTGGAGCGCCATCGCCGCCGGCGCCGCTAGTGTACAGCTATAAGATGCTATGTTAGTGGATTGATTTCTCATTACTGGAACTGTGGAATACACACCGTCAAGAGATTGCCCTGCGGGAGGAACTGGCGTTGACTACCGGCGAACAGACACAGAATCCCCAGAAGAAACGCGCTGAAAGAGCCGATGACCGGCAAGAGGGAGCGGAGGGAGCTCATGTTCGATGTGGTTGTCGTTGAGAGTTGCTGGTGTCGAGATGTGTTGCCCGCTGGAACATCGGGGTTTGGTCGCCCAGCTTCCTCATATGCACCGTCCCGGAGGATGAAAGTGAATCGCTGATAGAGTTCGAAACCACCGGAACTCTAAGGACTGGCGCAATATATGGCACTGTAATTTCGACAGATCTTCCTCCAGCCTGCGCCGTCTGCGGTTCCCAGCCGCCTCGATATCAGGAATGCTGGGCACGGCCCCAAACGGACGATCGCCGGCTCCCGAGAGGGATAGAGCTTGGTATGGGACTAGTTGACCAGGTCCGCATCCTCGGGATGCTCTTGGTGATTAGTGATCTTAGCGATCACGGCAAGAGGAGGATGCCTGGGGACTGGCTATGATTGCCCATGAGGAGGCGGCCGTTGCGGTACCCAACATTGCTTGCAGCCACCATTCGACAGGCAGGTTGACACATGACCCGGAGATCGGAGGTGGAAGCTCTGCATCAATGCAATCTTCTGTCTATCATTGCCAGAACCTCAAGACACGAGCGCCACAGCAACACCTCTCCGATGCAACCGTCTCCGTTGTGGACGAATTGCGCCCAATTTGGTTAGGTGAAGGTTGATCCCGTAAGGCCGCAGCGGATCTGATTTCCGCCCCGGTCCCATCATGGATCCTCTCATTCTCCCCCTGGAATGCCCCCGGAACGTAGGGGCCAAATCACCACCGCAACCAATGTATCTCATGCTGCACAGGGAATGCTGGTGCAGATGGTACCTGAGTGCAATCATTCCGCTTTTCTGATTGGTGGACCAAGTGTCCGGTACGGACAGTACTCGCAAGGGGCCCATTCGGACCGGCTCCACAGTAAACCAGAGGTTCCCGGGACGCTGGTTTCTCAAGTAGAGTTGCTGTGGGAATCCAATCACCCTGAGATCTTGTTCGTGGGGTAGGCGGCGAGCAGTAAGTTCTCTTTCTCAGCTTAAGCTGGCTCCCCGTGGACCCGCAGCCGCTGATGCTGAAAAGCGGCCACAGAATGCCTACAATCATGCCATCACCCACAAAGCTTCTGAGAATCATCGAGCGCTGCTTTGGTTGCAAGAATTGGTCAGTGAGCCCAACACCGCCTATCAGAACACAACTGGAGTTCGTAAAATACCATCATGTCCGCTCGTGTAGTTCGTAAACGTGAGATCACTCTGATTCAACCAAGTGATTCATCCAAGCAATGCCCCAATGCAACCAGCGAGGTCGACTGGCGAAGTGGCTGGAAGACTCTCGGCAGGGACTCCGGCCCATATAAGTAGATCCCGTGGCCGCTCTCAACCCAGCGGAATGGTGGTGTAGCCAACCTGTGTAACATGCTTCTTGTAGCAGTGCTTGTTGTCCGTAGCAAGCCGGCCACCACTAACACTGAACGCAATTGACTTGGCGTTCTCTCTAGAACTAGCTTTCGGGCTGACTGAGGAGTGTCTTGTGGAGGCAGGAATGTTTCCGTTCATGAACAAACCCATTGTTTCTGAAACTGCAAGCGCATGCTGCCGGAACGAACTCGATCGGATGTTGACCATACTAGCTCACTACTGATTGGAGCTTTTACAGAATGTGCGAAGCTCACATTTGTCAATAGGAGGACTCCGTGTTTTGTTGATTTGCCGTGTTGTCTGCGCTGGGCTGGGATCGCTGTGGGACGGGAAGAAGAATGAGAGCGAGTTTCCGTCTCCTTGAGGATGCGAGGTTGACAAGGATCTGTAGACGCCAAGCAAACGGGGTCCTTTCTGCTTTCCATCTGATTTGGTGACTTGGAGGATGGAGCCTGGAGATGTAGTGTTGGTACGAGGATATTGTTTACGGCGGTCGTAGAGAGTAAAGCATTGGCCAACGACTACTGTCTCGACCTGGTCTCCCATACCCCGCATCCCAGCATGGCTCCTTTGCTGAGGCTTGGATGTTGGATTCTTTCGTTGAAGGCAGAGTATTCTCTAGTCCAAGCTTGAATCTCGCAGTCTCGAGTAATCGTATCCACGCGATGTCGTGAAGGATGAAATATGTGCAGCCATTGTGGATCAAATTTCATTCGTTTCTTCATCTCCTGCAGAAGGAGAGACAGACCTGAGGTCTTTGACCCCGGTGATGGCCGACGGTTAAGGTTCGAGAGACAGCCCCTACATAGCAACGACAAAATTTGTCTGATGGAAGTGGCAAAGAGAATAGTTGGATTTCCGAACGGTATGGAGTTCCATCATTCTTTCTTCAATGTGATGCACGTTCCAGTCGTTGGTGAGTTGATACTCATAGTTCGCTTGTGAGTATCTGGCATGGCTGGGTTGGCAGTCCAATACTGCACAAGAGGTCTATTAATCTAATTGTGTTGGCACATTCACATTCCATCTACTCTATGCCTCTTTCAATTGTTCCGCTGGCTCAGCAAGCGGCGCCAGCTTACTCTTCCTCCGTAGACGTGGGCCGTACACGTAGAAGAGTATAGGAATCGGAATCATCACCACAGCAATGCACCCGAGCAAGGTACCGGCCCATTGGATTCCTAGATTATGGAACATTTGCTCCGTGAAGAGGGGAAAGACTGCCCCGACCATGGACCGCATCATGGTATTGGCTGCGAAAGCCGACGCAGCACTATAACAGGTTAGTGAAATTTTTCAAGGGAAGCGAGCTCGGAAGGTTGGCTTACAACTGCAAATACGAGTCCAGCAAGTAGTTGAATCCCTGCATGAAGATTGAGGTGATTCCAAAGCCGACCATAACGCCGGCGGCAGTGGGAGCCATCCAGTGGATCGAATTGTTCCAGCCTGTCCAGCCGAACCTGCGGGACCTGTCAGCACGCGATCAATCATGACGAGACGAGAGTCCTTACCAGAACAAGCCCCCTGCGAATGCTACACCACCAACAATACATGGCAGCAAGCGCCATTCGGGAACGGGTATATTGTTGTTGGCCCTCAGCTTCCGAGTATACGAGCCTTGCATGGATAAGACGAAAGCGCTGCCGGATATCTCTCCGATGATCAGGCCAATAAAGGGTAAACCGGCCACACCTCCAGTCATACCGTAAGTGCCGGAAAATACAATCGGGTATGCTTCAAGCAAGGCATACGCTAATCCATAAATGAAAGACATATACAAGGTGAGCAAGAAGGCAATCGGTTCGGTGAAGAGAATCAAAAACGGGCGGGCCAGGTTCTTCGTCACTAACTCCTTCAGGTCGATTTCCAATTCAGCCTGGCGTGCGTGGATGCCCCAGTTCCGAGTTTGGCGTCTGAGAATAGCTGCCTTCTGTACGAGAATAACAGGGGCGTATGTCTCTTCGCAGAAAACTATCATCAATAGCAGACTGAAGAACCCGACGATGGCAGGCAGATAGAGGGTCCAGCGCCAGCCAAGATAGCTCTCGGTAATGAAACCGCCGATAAACGGTGCCGTGAATGGTCCCGTGAAGACGGACATTGTATACATGGCAATCGCGATTCCTCGTTGTTCATTGTTGAAGAGATCGGAAAGACTGGCAGGGACCAGGGCGATGACGCTGGCCGCAAAGAATCCCGAGAAAAAGCGGGTCAGCATGACGGTTTGCGTATCTTTGGCCGTCGCGCAAGCGATGGTGAAGATGTCGAATCCAAACATGCCAATCATCAATGGCCATCGCCGACCGAGTAGTTCGGAGCTGGGCGCCCATACAGTCGGGCCAGCCGAGAATCCCAGTACGTAGAGAGTCGTGCCCAGAGCGGCAACCTCGGAACCAAAACCGAAGGCTCTCTCAACCTTTGAGGCCGCCGTTGCGAAAACAGCGCTGGCGAAAGCGGTGACCAAAGCACAAAAGGTCAATAGAGAAGCGATCATGACTCTAGAGAAGCATTAGCCGTGCGACCACAGGACATGCATTAAAATGCCCTACCTCCGCTTGAGGGGCCAATTCTGGGGGTGCATGGGATCATCTGCCCCGTCAAACTCCACCACATACGCCTCCGAGTCCGGAAGGCCGGGCGGATAGGGCTTTCCGGCACCCATAGGGAGCCATTGTTCACGCGGGATACGACTACGATTAGATCCGACCGTGAGTTGTTGTTGCAGACGGTATGTGTTGATTCGTTCCAGCTCAATGGTATCATGGTGGTCCGAGTACTCCACCCGGGAATCGCGCCGAGAAGTCCTGGCGAAATGGTCCGAGATCGAGGAAGCGTCCTCGGGCTCGAGGTCATACTTCTCGGCAGGCCCTTGGCTCATGTTCACAGTTCAAATTCTGTGCCCGGGAGGGATTTCCTTATGACGGAAAAGACGAGAATCGGGGGATTGAGCAGGACACCCACGGCCCAATGGGGGCCGATGAATCATTTAAAGGAGCTAGGTCCTGGCGAGCTGACCGGTTTTTTCGTCTCTTTCCTCCTCCAAAAAATTTCCTCCCGGATGCCGATGCCGGTTGATGTGGGTCGGAAACGGGGTGCCATTATCTCAAGATCCATAGCGTGTATCTTGCGAGTTCCGAGAGTGGCGATCCACCACTTATCATCAGGGTATCCGCTGCGCTGAGCGTGGGTAAAAAAAGCATGGCAGCGGGAAGAAACGGAGTCATGGACATTTCGAGGATCATTTGCTGGGATTTCACCATCGTCGAGTCGAGTGAGGCAAGTCAATGAAGCAGGCAGGCAACAGGTGTTAATTGTTAATTCCGCAGGTGTGAGCGACCACGGCTGCGAGTGGATCCAGACGGGAAGCACATCATCGGGTACTCGGCATCAGGCTGGCAGCCAGGAACCAGTCAGTATAGTACTAGACCAAAAGATAAGCAGATACATTCGAGTCAAAACATACACATGTCGATAGCCAATGCATGAGAGCCCACTCACTGGGACAATGCATCACTGTGAAGCAGCTTAGGTAGAAGGCCAGTAGTGCCGAGCCAGCCCACATGCACAGCAACTGCACGTGGTCGAGCAGGCCGGAACATTGCTGAAGAGACCTTTCTTTTTCCTATCCACCAATCAATCAGCTTGGTATTGCTGATTGAGATCGTATGATGCGGAAATGAGTCAGAGGAGAAGATAAGAAGGATGTTGGGGTTGATCTCAGTGCTGGAGAGCAGTTGGATATAATGGAGGAACTTGGGAAGCTGGGGAAAGAGGGGGGAAGCTGTAGCCGGAGTTAATCCGCTCCGGTCGGCGGAATTGATTCCGTGGAGCAGTCGTGTCTCCCACCTCAGCAATACCTACCGTCCCAGCATCAATCTTGACCAAAATACCAAAATAAGTGTATGTATCTCCATTATCTATGTGTATGTACATATCCACATCATCCAACCACTGGATTGAAAGGATTATTTGGCTTCGCTGTGCGTACGACGGACAAACAGATGGATCTCGGAGATGAGCCGGGTATAATCAACAAAGGAAGTGATTTTCCAAAACCTCGGACATCCAATCGGGAAGATCGAAAAGAGAATTAGAAAACTTGGGCAAGGTGTAGAAGAAAAAGTCTGGGGTATAAGATAAGAAGTGGGTAAGGAAGAGTCTCGAGTGAAGACACGAGAAGAAAAAGAAGGGGTCTATGTAAGGAAGTAGTTTTGGCGGGTGATGATCCAGGCCGACCGAGGGCATCGGCAGAGAACATGCAACTGGGCTGGAAAAGCCCGAGAAAGAAGATCCTGCACTGCGGAATTAATAGCAGAGTGCAGCTGGACAACCCGAACTCAGCCATGTTGATGAAGGCTTGAAAGCCAGCTTCCTTCATCAGACTAGTCCTTTTGTCCCTCGTTCTCGATCAACTCCAGAATCAACTGGCTGCGCTCGTATTCCGGATGTTGCATGCAGATCTTGACCGTACGACCACTGCTTGCAAGCGAACTACCGTTCGACAGTCCACTGGAAAGGTTCACGGAACCTCCGGAGTTCGTCGGGATGCTGTTGGCACCTGACCCGGGCATGCTACTGCCATCATCAAGACAGACAACACCATGACCCGGGATCACCTGGCGCAGGCGACCATTCATCGCATTCCGCACTTCGACGAAGTCATCATTAAAGAGAATAAGGAAACGGCCATACAGACACGCCGAATGAGCATGGCCCACAAACTCCATGACCACGCTGCGGGACACGTCGCCGTGCTTGTTGACATACACGGCACATTCCGTATACACCACCAAGAACTCGCTATCGCTGAGTCGGAACATCCCCAGCGGGCGCAGAGTGCCAATGCGATGGGCAATGCTGGTCAACTGGGCCTGCGCTTCCGGGGGAGCCTCGGAGCGGAAGTCAGGCACGGACCACGTGTATTTCTTGTCAATGGTGAGAATCTCGATACCTCTCTGGGTTGAGATGGCCAGAGAGGAATGGAACAAGTTGATACCGTAGCATTCCGAGGGAATGTAGAATTCATCGTACTCGCGGAAGAACTCGGTCTGCGAACGGCGCGAGAACAGACGAGTTCGACTGCTGGATGATTTCTGCACCACTGGCTCGAGGATCTAAAATCAAATGAGTGGAATGCACTAAGGCCTGGGCGAGGAAGAGACGAACCTTGAATGTGGACGAGAGCCCATCTCGCTTCTTGTACATGATCAACGTACGGTCCTTCATGTGACCTGCTGCGAAGAACCCGACTTCGCGGCTGCCTGACAGCTTCTGCGGTGCGCGACGGGCCGAATCAGTCGTTGTCTGGGTGGTAACGCCGCCCGGAGGGCAGACAACATCCAAGTGATACGCTATCAAGGATTTATCGGCTATGAGCACAAAGACGTTGAACTCCTCGAAGACCGCGATTTGAGTGACTCGGATGATTGGTATGGCCTAAAGCGGGACATGAGTTTCCGGCTGAGTGATTGAGAACATCATGACTTACCCGAACCCAGCCACGAGGGTCATTGTAGTCTGAGATATAGACTCCGTAGTCGGTACCTATAGCACACATCATTCGGCCCGGGGGTTGTTGGAAAACCGTAGCACAGTGAACCGCAGTCCGGCAAACAGGAGGCGGGCGTGGTGAGCCGGCGTACCGCTCTTCCACATCCCTGATGGCTCTGTCAAGAGGTGTGGCATCAATTATAACGCTCGTAGGGGGCAGAGCAGCCTCAGACGTGGCAAAAGCAGTATCAGCCAGCACTCGGAGTCTGAAAGGCTCGGCGTTCTGTGCAAACAATGCAGCGGCATGTTTCGTCTTCGCGACGGTGATTTTGTCACACCATTCCTGTCGGCTCTGGGAAGAGAAGGCATACAGTGTGTACGTTCCATTCTTTCCCAGGTGCTTGATTTTAAATGGGTACAAGATCTTGTCATCCTTGGAGCTTTCCAGCACAGTTGCAGGCACCATCGTTTTGCTCGAGCCTGAGTTTCCAGAACTGGCCGAGTTACCACTAGCAGTATGAGCCAAAGCGTTTCCGCCTACACCGCGATTGACGGCCTGCGGTTGGGTCATGGTAGCCACGCCACGAACCGCTGATTTCACCACGGGATCATCGTTGGTACTCTCCAGGACCAGGAGGTCCATAGGAATGGGCAGCTTCGAAACATCATATCCCTCATACTTGATCGTCCTCGACGGGTCCCGAGTCGTAAATGTTTTGGCCAGCACCAAATAATGGTCAAAGAGAATGGCATGTGTGTCTACCAAGAAACGGGTTCGCGTGCCTGGTCGCTGCAGGTCTCCTCGGAAAACGATCTGACGACCCAGATGTTCCAGGTTCAGCTCCACTTCTTTCTTCATCTCCGGACGAAGCTGCAGCTTAGAGCTGAGCTCGATCAGCTCAACCTTCTTGGTCATCTCGCCCACTTTGGCATCACACTCCAGGGCCACCTGCTTGATCTCCTCGATAGCCTGAGCAAGGTTTGCTTTCTCTTCAGAGTCTTTGACCATGTTCTTATACACGGTGGTCAAAAGCAGAGTGTAGCGCTGGATACGGGTGATCGGAGCTTTGAGATAGGTATCCCAACTCAAACGGTTCGACATTTTATGGTCACGGGCTTGGTCGAGGAACTGCCGGAAAGGTACGTTCACCTCCGCTTCTTTGCGAACAAGATAATTGGCGTGAGGGAACGTGGCCGCATAATCAACATAGACGGCCCTGGCTTTTCGAATCCACTCGCGGAAAATATCGCTAAACCCGGCAATGAATGGCCCCTGTTCCTTCTGACGGTACTTGAGTTGCGCAAGAAGATAGTCCTCATTGACTTTCTTGACTGGGTCCACCTTTCCAAAAACATCATTCAAGAATTTGCTCAGGCGCTTGGGCTTGATCACCGTGGGCTGCATCTGAGTAAGTTGATCACGGTAGAGCTCTCGCAGAACGTCGAGTTGAGCAATGAACGAGTCCTCAGTGGTTACAATTTCATGAAGGTTGTTTTGGCGATCAATCTCCTTCTTTGGGTATGTCTCCCAAATCTCCTTCGGGACTTTGTAAAAAGTGACCCAGTCTTCGGCCTTCTTCTCCGCTTCCATCATTTGCGCCTTCAAATTCACCTTCTTCAGCGTTCGCATGCAGTGATGGGAGTAGCACCGGCCGAACACCTCTGATTCATGTTCGTGTAACCGAGGTGAGTAGCATCCCGTGCCGGTGATCTGGAATAGGACTCCGGATATCGTGCCCGAACTGAATTTGACCCACTCTTCGTCTTTCACAAGAGCCTCTTCGGCGAGCATGTTCTTCACCACGCGGGCCGCCAAGGTTTCAGCATCCGCCATGTTCATTGTAGGGACTTTGTGAGTGAACAAGGCTACAATGGCATCCACAATGGCCTGCTCCTTCAGGTCCGTCTCCTCCTCGCTGAGCTCGCGAATCCAGGACAAGACAGAGCTCAACGCCCACGGCTCCGAACAGCGGCGGAAGTGCTCCGATGAGAGCTTAGCGGGGTTGAACTTTTTGCGGCGTCCAGCGGGGATGGCAGGCAGATCGAGCGCCATCGCTGCCGCAGCAGCATCGGGAGAATCGTCAAACCTAAGCGCACCATACTGCTGCTGCCGGAGCAACTCCTGTTGCTGCTTGTACTTGGCCCGATCTGCATCCGTCTTCGATCTGATAGGGGGGTCAGTACGAGGTCCAATTGGATGGCTCGATAGAGATGTGGACCGTGGCACTTGAGCAGAATTGGACACGGCCGGGCTGTAGGAATCAGGAGCAACAGGGAAATAAGAGGGAGAATACTGGGTAGCATCCCGCACATCCGCTTGGTCCTGGTGACGATAGGTTCCGGCCGGCATCAAGTGAGACCGAAGGTTCGGGTTGCTGGCCGGTTCGACAGGAGCTGGAGGCAGGGGCCGCATCCCGGGATGAAAGAATAGGTCCCCTGGTTCGCCCCCCTGGCCGGAGCTATCGCTTTCCGATTGCTGGAGGTCCTGATGCTCCCCCAGCGGACCGTTAGTCTCATCGCCATAATCGAAGCTCATTCGACGCTGATAAGCTCCGGGCTCGGACAACCCTCCCGTGCCGCCAGCATCCACTCGGGCATGATGAGGCATCTGCGCATAAGGATATCCCGACGGATCAAGGGTGGGCGGATAATCGTAGTCGTCCGCATAGTCGTCGCGATCATCTGCCGACAGATGGGAGCCCCTCAATGAGCCTGAAGTGGCTGGCAATCGATCATCACCATAGCCATCAGTAGCGTAGCCATTCTCGTCATATCCTCCCGTACCGCGATAGCTACCATCTGCGTAGGAGAATTGATCATCCTGAGGCCAGTCAGTGAGGGGAGATGTTGCCTGCGTGTCTGATCGCGCTCCGTAAGCACTGATGATGGATGCATTGGTTTCTCGTCGTGCACGATCCTGCAGCCGCTCGGCTTGAGCGCGGTCCTCCTCATCGGCCATTTGCAACATTGCCAGACCTGCCGCTGCCTCCGCATCGCTATCGTCACTATAGGCGTCGTAATTCACATACTGGCCCGTTCCCGTGGCCATGCTCCCATTGGTATGAGTGTGACTCTCATCTGGAGAGAGCTGATAAGATGGATCTTCTGCATCAAGATACAGGCCGGTGTCCGCATCCACCGGTGGACCCGGTAGGGGCCGAGCTTGAGGATGTCGAGTCAGCGTATCTGTGCGGCGCGGTGACACCGGGGACTGGACTTGGTGCACGGGTGGAGTTGGCAAGGATCTTCCGCTGCTGGAGAGTGTCAAGCTTGCGCGTTTTCCATAGATGTCGTCTCCCACTGACGAATGCGCTGGGGGCACTGGAGGTTGGTCGTCTACAGCGGAAGGCATCACGACATCGGATCGACGGGGGGATTGAGGGACGTAAGTCGATTGGGCGCTCGTTACGTACGGGGGAGAAGCAGGAGGATGAGGATCGGAAGGAGTAAAAGTCGCGGGCGAGGATACATTGTAGGAGGACTGTTGGGCGAACCCATACTGCGCTGCCGGTCTGCTTCCATAGGGATGGTCCGGGCCGCGGGGAGGGGGCGGTGGTGGGGGGAGTTGTGGATGAGGAGGTCCGTAGGTCTGCGGGGTGGGAGGAGCCTGGTTATATGTCAAGGATGGTTGTCGTTGGATCGCCGCTGAGTGTAGACTGGCAGTCTGGTAGGCAGCGGGATTGTATGGTTGATGACCCGAAGCGATCTGGTTGCTCTGCGGGGAGGCTGGACCTGAGTATGCGATCGGGCTGAAACCGACTTGCTGCTGGGAGGGAGTAGGCGGCAAAGCGTACTGTTGAGGGTTATACGCGAGCTGGGTTGGGGATGCCGCGGCGGAGACCGACGAGGTGTATTGGTATTGGTAGCTGGACTGCGAGGATGCGCGAGTGCGAGACATCTGAGGAGAGGAGGGAGTAGGAAGATGCGCGTATCGAGGGTCTGCATGGTCTTCGCGGTCCTGAGCTCCATAACGAGCATTCACCTCGGTCGCTCTGGCATTCTGTGGCTGGGCAGAACCCAGCAATGCTGCATCGTCTCCCACGTTGTAGCTAGGCATGCGTCGGAGTTGTGGGCTGGTGGGCTGAGTGGCATACAGGTCATATCGGGCGGGCTGCGCTGAGGCTGGAGGGGAATTCGTCGATTGGCCGTAGATCGGATAGCCATTCTTGTAATGTGCCATGATGGTTGAAGCGAGCGACAGAGAAAGTAGACGCAGATGGTGGAGGGAGGGGGAGGGGAGAGATTGAGCGCACGCGACCGGAGGATAGGAAAGGAGGAAGCTCGCAGTGGATCGGCGCTGAGAGAAATCCCACGTTGTGGCTGTCAAGTGGGGAGGGGGGGGGGAGCGAGCAGGAAACGCTGATTAACAATCGGCCACTCAGGGGAGAGACATACAACACCCCAGATCACAGCAGCAACTGTGTGAGCAGAGGAGAGAAAGACTCAGGGACCGAGAGAGAGAGGCGCAACCGCCTACTGGAGCTTGTTGGTAAAGATAGCAAATCGAGCCTCATGCGGAGGTGAGCCGGCAACGACAATAATAACAACCGCTGCAGCAGCACAACAACTACAACGACAACGACGAAGACGAAGACGAAGAAAAGAAGCAGGGTCGTCCACCACCTCTCACATACCCTGAACAGCCAAGCGATCGAAATCCCACAGGAAAGCGATCGTTGAAGGAGGGAAGGGAGAAGGTAAGTAAGGAACCGGGTATAAGGGAGTAAGTTAGGTAGTCGAGAAGGAGGAAGGGTGGGGAGGAATAACCAACACAGAGGAGAGAAGAAGAAAAGGGTAAAGGAAAGCGATGGCAGCCACGGAGAAGAGCCTTGGCAATGGAGAGATTGGCGGAGCTGGAGATCAGGAGTCGGGACTGGATGCGGTAGGCGGTCAGTAGGTATCGGGGAGGGATCTTCCTCGACTTCCTCGATTCTGCCTGCAGTTGTCTCGAAGAGAAAACATCTTCAACAATACAGTATATAAGAACTTATAATAATCTATCGATTTACTTGATACGGAGATGTGAAGTGGCTCATTGATTCTTGAACAATTTAACAATCCACCCCATGTCTCCACACATCGCGCAGACAATTAGCCATAGTCCACTCGTGGTCTGCTATGCAGGGTCCCGAAATGCGGATTGATTGAAAACCGCCGGCCAGGAAGCACGCAACTAACAGAATAAACCACTTGCTCACGCTCAATTGGAACACAAAAAAGAAGGCAACCCAGAAAAGCATCCCCTTCCCACCCCTACAACGGGTCTAAACACTAAACTCGAGTCGATTGCCCGCAAAATCCCGGGCAAAGAACCGACGTGGATATTCCTCTCCCGTCGGACCCGAGCACATTCCCAACCGATCTACATCCATTGGAGCCGCGGGACCTCCGTTTTCTTGATGCGCTAGGATGCGTTTCTGCAGCGTCTGCAACTCATCCAACGACGAGACGCGCAGGCAGGCGTGTCGCTGGGAGTCGAGCTCGGGGTTAGGACCCAGGTTGACGTGGATCTGTTGACTTCCATCGGGGGTAAGGTTAAACCTTCTTTAGTTAGCAAACGGGTCGTGTTGCACTATGTGGTGAGGTCCGGACGCACCAAAGGATCGTGCCTTTCTGGAGCTCGGGAACGGGGGCTGATTCCAGGCCAAGGGTATCGCTGTAGAACTCGGTGGCTTGGTCCAAGGTGCCATCGGGCACAAGGATATTAACGTGATGGATGCCGGAAATCATGGTGCGGAGATGGGTTTGGCGAAGGCGAGATTTGTCTGTGAGGTGGTGGTTGTATCTGATCATCAATATGGAAGTGATGAGTCGGAGGGAAAAAGCGAAAGAATTGCGGATGAAATCATGCAGACCCCGCCATGCCCTCTTATATACTCTAGTGAGTGGCTCAGCTTATTACGAGCGATGGACCAAAGTGGAAGCATTTCCCGCCATTGAAGGTGGAACAGCTCGCCCAGTGAGTGTCTCGGAATCCCTTTTCCTGGGAGAAATCCCCGCGGGGTGAGATCGTATCGAATCATCGCCCATCGTGTTTTTTGTACCATACTTATCTGTCAAATGCCCCGGGCTTTTATCCGTGTAGTTTCCCATGCGGGGATGGAAGTCAGTCACTCGAACGCAACTAACATGGAGGTAAGTTGACCTCTCGGTCTCTGTTTGCGAGCCGACACAAGGGACGGGTTTGATCTGCCTGCGGGCCGAAACCAACTCTTGCATCTGTGACAGGATATATGTATCCGTCCACGGTCGGTGATAGCAGGTATCTGCTTGGGGTGGGGTGGCAGGGGATAGGCAAAGTTGGGCTTTATAATCTGGCGACCAGTATGCCACCAAGCTGTGCTCCCCATGATAAGAGAAAGAGACTGATCACAATCTCCAAGAATCCAGGCTGATGCATGCATGCGTCATAGTTATGGGTACAGTCTGTACATGTACGTACTGTACTGTACTAGCTGGTCCGTGCGCTATGGTCCCTGAAAAGAATTAAAAGCATTCGATTCCCCGCATCGGGGATTTCTTTTGTCTTTCTGGTGGGTGCGGGACGGTGGGTGTTGTGCTCCTTAACAGTCGATAACAATGAGGCTTCATGTTATGTGAAAGGAGCTTGGAGTTGTGGTCTTGTTTTTATCCTTCCTCTCCCTTGCATAATGTTCCTACGTACCAAAACCCAGGTGAAGGTTCTATTGATGCCATCCAACAGAACTTAAAAAACATGATGTAACTTTTATAAACCAAACCAACCCTTCTGACAAAGCAACTAGGATGAAATCAGCTATAAATCCACGTGCGTGATAACATTTGTAAATTTCTATTCGGACATGCTTCTGTATCATCGCTAAGTGGTACTTTGTATATGATGAGTTTGATCGTTACGTAGATTCCTGGAGCTTGAGTGAGAAAGTAGGTCCCGGAAATATATTGCAAGCAGGACCTTGCTGATGCATCCACCCCAACCCAGCATACAGAACACTTCAGACTCTACTTCATATCCAACCGGCAAGAACATACTAGCTCTGAGTCATACTTCCTATTTCCTAAACTCCATAGCAAGAAAGTCATACATACATGCATGCAAACATACATACGGTCATACACATCACGATGCCGGATACATACAATCAACAATCCCATCGACTTTCATCTGTCTTGTCTGATCGTTCCAGGAACATGCATCCAGAGACACACATCAACTAAGAAAAGCAAGGTATCTAAGCCACAGCCGATATCAACAGGCATAAGAGGAATTGAAATTACATGTTCGACCTCTCCGGGCAGGTACGGTAAGAGCGAGGGATCTTTGTTTATCTTCAGATAATATCTTTAAGAGATTCATATAGGGAGTAGGTGGAGTAGCAACTGTAGGGCTGTGTGGGGACGAAGGAAATGGAGTGGATGAAGGAGGGTGGGTAGGTTGGTTGGTAGGTCTGCGGCGGAACGAAATGAGTGTGGAGGAGAGAGCCTAGCTCGGGAAATGTCTATATTTACGACTCGAATTCGACTTTGCTGACCACGTTGTCAGGTGCATGGGCTGCTGCTGTCGAAGAAGACTGGGTATTGTCATGGTGACCATCCTTGTCATCAAGGAGGGAAGCATCGTCCTTGCCGCGCATGCTGATGACCTCGGCGCCTTCGAGAAGGTCGCGATCGGCATCCCGTACGCTACGGCGGTCCGGATCAGCGCCGTACGCGCCAGCTCCCCAGCTAGAAATGCCCCCGACAATGGACGGGGCGGAAGTGGGGCCAGTGCGGCCATCGTAATCTTCCTCGTCCTCTTCGTCTTCTTCCTCACCGCGGCCGAGGGCGTTGCGTTCGAGCTCGCGCTGCGCTTCGTCCATGCGCTTCTTGACTTCGGCGGCCATGCGGATTCCATCAGACACGATGTTGTCCAGAACGCCGCGAAGACCTCGGCCGGGAGGAACAATACCACCCGACGCGCCTCCAACAGAGGGAGCCGACATGGCGCTACTCTGGGGCTTGGGGGCGTTGATGTTGGAGAACGTCGTAAGATTGGACGAGAGGGACGAAGCGGTGGCAGCATATGAGCCATGATCGGAGAGGTGGAATGACTGGGGGAAGTAAGAGTCGAAGAATTGTTCCAGAAGCTCATCAGCTAGAATGACCATGCGGAACGTGGGTAGAGTGATGTGTAGAGGGTTGTTAGGATCAAGAGCCGGGTTAGCACTTTCGGAAGCGGTTCGATTGTGTTCGGAGTCACGCTTCTCTTCCGCAGCGAGCTGGGCAGGCTGTTCCGTAACCGCTGTGGGATCGGATTTGGTGTCATCGTCCAGATCAAGCAGGTCCTCTTCTTCATCGTCACCGATACTGAAAGACCCTAGTTTGTCTGCAGCTTCATCCGCGTCTAGCTGGCCGTCTGCTGCCTTGGCCCCGGGCTTGCTGGGGTCGGCATACTCGAAACAACGCCTAATGAAGGAGCTGACACTTCCCAAAAATCTCTCATCGGTGCTCAACTTGTCTTCACCGCGAGCGCCATCATTCGCTTTCAGGTCGTCAACAGACTGAGTAGGTGTAATGGTGCCTTCAAAGCCTCGTCTGGAGAGGAATAACAGAGCCTCGGACATGCGAAGAATACCTTCCCTATCAACCGTGCCATTTCCGTCATCATCATAGAGATCGAAAAAGTACTGGATGTTGTTCATGATGTCCCGAGGGCCCTTCAGCCGAGCCAGACCGTTGACAACGTTCTGCAAGCTGATGCCCTCCTCTGGATCAGTTGCCCATTTCCGGAAAAGACGTTGCATGAACTCGTGATCGGTTGGCTGATTCTTGGTATTCCACGCAGCTGCCTTGCCCCATCCTCGGAAGCTGTTGGAGCTCTGCTCGCTGCTCGATGACTTGCGCGGCGAATCCGAAACGGCCCACTTCGCGGTGACGGCGAGAAACTCCCTGAAGGCGTCGTAGTCCATATGCGTCGGGCTAGGGCCCAGACCGACACGGCCGACCTCTCGATCAACGGGAGGCCCAAGAATGGAAGTTCTTTCGACCCTCTTCTTTTCCTGGCGTCTTCTCTCTTCTTCCTGCAACTTCTGCCTCTGCTGGTTGTCATACAAGACTTCATAGTAGCGGTCATAGATGGCACCGAGGTCGTCCATGCTGAGTTTCTTGCTGTCGGGACCCAAGTTCCGGATGGAGGTGCGTTTGGCGAAACTTTCAATGTTCTCCAGCACGGCGTCCTTGTGCTTTTCTCGCTGCTCAATAATGGTCTGATGCGTGATCTGGGAGAACTCCTTGAAGGCCACGACCATCAGTTCCTGAAAACGAGTGATCGCGCG